GGATTTCTTTCTTTCTAATAGATGATATTCTTCTTGATATATATGTATATCAAGCAAAAAAATAGGTGAAGGATCAAATGGAGTTGTTAATATACAAGGGTGGGCAAAAGTAGGTTTACAGTCTCGAGTGACATTCTTTTGAGTTAATAAAGCTGTTGTAAGGATAACTTGCAATGGCTGTCCTATGAACAACTGTCAACCTACTTTTGCCCACCCCACATATGCATTTGTGTGTATAGTCTTCCATTTGGTTCTTTCACTTTATTGAAATCCTGCTGTTCACATAGCACCATGCTAGGTAGGTAACACTGTGTTGAGGAAACTCAGAAAAAAGGAAAGTCAAGGTATCCTGTATGGAGGACTGCAGTCTGTTTTGAGACTGAAAAACAGGGGGAATCAGGCAGATCAAAGAGAGAACAGTCTGGGACTTCCAAGGAGAAGTAGGCAATTCACAGGCAGATGAAAAAGAGCAAACGGGTAAACAAATTCTGGGCCACCCAGAAGAGATGGGAAACAGGAGGAAGTTAAATAAAAGAGGGTTTGCTAGATTTCTTTCTGTCTGCCACATCGAATTTATATTATGATGGTAGGGTGATGCTTCCTTTCTTTAAGCAGGTTTTTCTATCTGACTTCCTTCACGCAGGTGAGGAGGAGAGTCAAAGGTTCTGAGTCTTTTGTTACTTAAGAACCAGCTTAAAATCAATATCCCACAAGGCATATGGTTCCCCTCAAGCTCTTTCATTAACATTCCTTTGAAGATGGCTCTCCCCTTTCCAGCTTTGGCTATACCACTTCTCCTTAGTCCTTCCCCCAATACACAGGCAAGTACTGTTCAGTCATTCTCCCAGTGTCTTTTCACACCTCTTTAACAGCAACAAAAAATATGTTGTGGTTCATACAGTAATAGGTGCAACTGATCAGTTTTTCATAGATGTTTAGATTTATTGCTAATTACACTGTAGCATTTTATAGGGTGGAGGGTACGAGCTATATAGATAAGTGGTGACAGTCATCGTAGGAAGGAAATTTAAGTTTAGAAACAGAAGAATTAATGCATTGAGTCAGATATTGTCAGAGAAAGCCAGAGAATGCTGTAGGCTTTATCCTGGGGGTAGGCTGACATTGATAGATAGGAAAAGAAGTAGCTTAAGAAGTGCTGAAATAGGGAGATAAATAAGATAATTAAAACTCAGTGGAAGGAAAGGTTTCAGGAAAGAATGGGATGTAAATGTTTTTGCGCAGAGATGACGAGGATTGGAAATGCTTTGGAGAGCGGTTTCAACAGTGGGAAGTTAGGGCTAGCAAGGTGAGGAGAGGAACTTAGCCAGTAAAGAATTATCGGCTCCCCTTTTAAAGAATTATCTGTTCAAGGAAGTGGAGAGCTGGGGCAGAAGGTAGAGTGGGAGGCATGGTCAAAAAATTTTTTTTTAGGTTGAAGGAGAGATTATCTGTGTATGTTTAGATGCAGATGGGAGAAGGTGACTATAATGAGAATAGAATACTTTAGGAGCCAGAGAAATTATGGGCTCTAGGGACAACTAGAACAGCTCATTTTAAGAAGGAAGATGACTGAAGGAGATCTTTTCATCTCTACCTGGAAGGAAGGGTAAGATTATGGGTGAAGAGGCAGAAATGAGTCTAGGTGGTGAAAAGCTCATACCATTTGGCTCCAGTTAGGTTAACAGATTTAGGAGCATGGAGATTATTTTGAATATCTATCCATTTGTTTTTTTTTTAACTCACAGTAGATCTAATATATCACTTTGATAGAGGTACAAAAGTAAAGAAGCTACCACATAAATTTATAGAGATATATTTGTATCATTCTGTTTATGATCATTTTTCATACATAGCCTGAGAGCTGGTGAAGAGGGAGTGGACTATGGGGCCCATGTAGCATCATAGATTTGCATACCTGAGTGTCCAAGGGGCTATGGAAGTAGGGTGGTGGTAAACGTGCCTCTGAAGTATTGGGTTGGCTAAAAAGTTTGTTAAGTTTTTTTTGGTAAGATGGCTGTAGTAGCACTAGTTGTCTTTAACTTCATTTGAAATGATTTTGTTGGAGTGTTTTGTGTCAGCTGTCGTAACAGGGTGCATTTAAAAAAACTTGGTGAATTTTTGCGTAGCCATTTTAAAAACTTTGAAGAAAATACGCAACGTTTTGAGCATACTATGCTTTATTATTTCAATAAAGGTAAAAATGCAAGTGAAACATAAAAAAAGGTATGTGCAGTATATGGAGAAGGTGCTGTGATTGAACCAGTCAAAAGTGGTTAGAAATTTTCTGCAGGAGATTTCTTGCTGGACAATCTTGCTGGACAATGCTTCACAGATGGATAGACCAGTTGAAGTGGGGGGTGATCAAATTGATACATTAATTGAGAAGTCAATTAATTATACCACATGGGAGATAGCCAACATATTCAAAATACCCAAATCGATAGTTATTGGTGAAAATGAAAAATGTGCCTTTGATTTTATGTAAAAAAAACGTACAGACTTTTTGGCCAACTCTAGTTTACTCTGTGGTCTAGGCTGGCTGTAGGGTTCAAGAAGCTAGAGAGTTGAATGGAGTTCTTTCCTGGTAGAGTGCAACCTGAAGGTGGAGATTTGGTCAGGGTGATGGAATCGAAGAGCTAGAGGATACTGTCCTGGGAGGATGTGAGATCGCAGAGGCAGAGCTTCTAACGAAGTAGAATTCAACACACTTGATTGGGAGATGGAGTAGGTTAGGTCAAAATGCACAAAAATTAAAGCAGCAGCATACACATTGTGTTACTGGTGAAAATGAGTTCTTTCGTAGTTCCAAGAGAAAAGAGTTTCAAAGGACACAGGTGTGGAAAAGTTTAAAGGTGGTGGCAAGATTTTATTGGGGTTAGGGGAAGTAACAGACTCTTTGGGACGCAGTGGTCGCGCAGGCTCTAGGCCCTGAAGCTTTCCTTAAGCCTTGTATTTTCTTGGGCTCAGTAATGAGTATGGTGCCATTCAGCTACCCGATCCAACGTCCTGATTATTCCTGGGTTCTGCGCCCTGTATCCAATCTGGTTATTTTTCTGGTTTTGCTCAGGCTAGGCTCCGCCCCTTTGTGTTGCCATTTTGATCTTTACTGCCTTGTCCAAAAGTAGAAACATCTCCCCGTGCGCCATCTTGACTTTTGACCACAGGTCATTTTCTGTTACGTCATCTGGATTCTACTGCGCATGTGCCAGCAGAGGAATTTGCCCTTCTCCCACCGATGCCCAGTACAAGGCCAGGCCAGCATTGCCCTTGGGGAGATTTCCTGACTGTTCTGTGGATTAAATTCCCTTCTTGATTAAATCCCCTCGTCCTGAGCAGTCCCCTGGAGTGTATGAACGAGTTTCTAAATGCCATAGCATTCAAGTAAGCTTAATGGAATGCTGTCTTAATATCTGATTCAGCGTCCCAGTTTATTAAGTTTAATATCTGATTTCCTTTGCTCTCTCCCTTATTAATAATTATCTAATTACCTATGCTAACAATTGTACTAGAAATCGTCTTAATTGCCAGAATTACAAAATTGTGTGGTAATGACCTCACAAGTCATTACCACTGTATTCCATGTGGCATGATAGAAAAATCAGATATTGTGAGTTTTTAAAAAGTAATGGGTTTTATAATGTCAGTAAGCACCATTTTTGGTAACTTCTGTTTTGTTTTTGAAAATTTTTTATCCTTATCCCATAACATTTTTTCACTGCTTTTTTTTTTTTTTTTGAAAGAGAAAGAAACGTCAGTGTGAGGGAAACATTTATTGGTTGCTTTCTTGTACATGCCCTGACCAGGACGGAACCCACAACCTCTGTATGTGCCCTGACTGGGAATTGAACCTACAACCTTTTTGTTTATGGTGCAACACTCCAACTAACTGAGCCATACAGTCCAGGACTGCATAATGTATTTTTAGCACTCTTTCTGAAAGCCGAATTTCACTTTTAAGTTTCAGTCTATTAAAATGTTCAATGTGATATATTTGGTCTTATAAGAAATGTTAAAATTGTTTTTATTGATATGTGGTATGTCTAAGTTAACCATTGTTTTTATTGCTGTGTGGTAATTGAATAATAATGGTGTAAATATCTAAAGATCTTAGGATTAGCATAGTAAACCAAGTACAAAAAAACTGTTATCCTTTAAAATCTTCTGTTTGCTCTTGCTATGTTATGCCCTCGGAATATAATGACTGGGTGTGTGTTCATTAGTGCCATTACCTTCTTAGGATTATCAGTTACACCCAGTCTTTCAGTGGACAGCACTGGGAATTGTGTTTCTGTCTCACTTCGCACAGTGCTGTGGGTCTCATTCAGTCTGCAGAGTGATTGTCAGCCTGATGTTTCCTGTTAGCTCTTGCTTGAGAATAAAACAGTTGACTTCCTGTGAACTGAAAGAATGGCTGTATTTTTGACAAGGTGCCTATAAAAGTAGGGGGCTACTTAACAATAGACAGAATCAATGTTTTGTTATGGGTTCTTACACAGAAGGTGATCAGATGACCTGATTTTCCTGGGACAGGTCTGATTAGACCTGCTCCAGCTTCCTATTCAGTTATCACTCCTCTTCACTCTCAGAAATGCTGTCACTTGGAAGATACATTATATGGTCATTCAGCTCAGGGTCTCATTTTGAAATTTAGGATTTACATTTTGAATCATTAGGTGGAGATGTATCTTAGTAAGAAGCAGCCTGTGGTTGGTTTTGCCTATTGAAAGAAGTTTGAAATGGTTGAATAAAGCTACTGCTTTCTATGACTTTCCCTCTATAATGTTATTAAAAGTGTTACAATTTGTACAGAATTTGGTAGTCAGTATTTGAATTCAGCTGGTATGATACAATATTTACCCAGGATGGATACATCCTTAATATCTTCTGCTTTGAGAAAAGAAAGAAATATGGTAGTGTTAGGCCTTGGATTTAGGAAATGTTGGGTATAAATGTTCATCTATCAGTGACTAAGTTTTGGTTGTTTTCCTTTCTTCAAACAGCAACAATATTCTGAGAGAGCCTGTGTGTTTAGGAGGATGTGAGCACATCTTCTGTAGGTGAGTAGTTATGGCTTGATATATGTTATATTGATACATACGTAGCAACAATGATTTCTTACTAGTAACAGTCATGTAATCATATTGATAATATTTCTTATATTTGTGTCACTGCCTTAGACTGCAAAGTAACTTACTGTACATTATCTCATTTTGACCCTTATAATTGTCTTAATTTACAAATGAGAAAAATCAAAGCTTAAAGAGGATGAGTTGATCAAAGTTATAAAGTTTAATAAGCAACTTTGCTATATATATTTTTAATATTTTATTTATTTATTTTTGGAGAGAGGGGAAGGGAAGGAGAAAGAGTGGGAGAAACATCAATGTGTGGTTGCCTCTCTTGAGTCCCCTGCTGGGAACTGGCCTGCAACCCAGGCATGTGCCCTGACTGGGAATCGAACCGCGATACTCTGGTTCGCAGGCCCGCGCTCAATCCACTGAGCTACGCCAGCCAGGGCCTTTTTATTTTTTATTTTTTTAAACTTTGCTATATTTATTATGTAATTCAGATATGTCTCTCTCTCTCTTTTTTTTTTTTTTGTTCCAGTTAGTTTTGAGTGTAGACTTTCCAAATTACAGTTGCTGTGTTAGTTCCCTAGGGCTGCCATAACAAAGCATCAAAAACTGGGCAGCTTAGAACAGCAGAAATTTATTGTGTCTCCTTCCTGGATGCTAGAAATCTTGAGAGCAAGGTGTCAGCAGGGTTTGTTCTTCTGAGGGCTGTGAGGGAGACTTTGTTCTGCTCGTGTTTCCTGCTTTCTGGGGCAGAAGCCGGCTTCTGGCAGTCTTTGGCATTCCTTGGCTTGTGGACGCATCACTGTGGTCTTAGCCTTCATGTTCACATGGTGTTCTCCCGTGTGCATGTTTGTTTCTACGTTTCCCCTCTTCATAAATATACCAGTTGTATTGGATTAGGGCTCACCCTGCTGGTCTCATCTTAACATGACTCTCTGCAAAGACCCAATTTTCAAATAAGATCACACTCATAGGTGCTAGAAGTAAAATGTTTTGGGGGACACAATTGAAGCTACAACAGTTATTGTGAAATTATATCCATGTAGTAATATGAAAGCTGTGGCTCATAGACTAGAACATGAGATTTTCATTTCATTCTGTTTCTTATTCAGGAGAAGTCAGTTTAAGGACTGAAAGTCTTAGTTTAATTGTCTTTGAACAGGGTTAATATAACCTCCTTTCAGTCAGTCTTTTCATTAGTTCAAGTTATGACTGAATTTCTCTGGCATGAGTAAACTGCAATGTGAAGTTTAAGCACACAGGAAAACAATTGACTATGTGACATAAGTTGGTTGGGGTGGTGGGGGAAGCAGCTATGCTTGGGATCCCAATTTTGTTTCTAGGAACAGTTCTGTTACATGGGGGATCTCTGGCAGGAGGATGAGGTAGGGAATAGTACCTGTCACCTACCCGGTACCTCCATTTGGATGATGAAAGGGATTTCAGATTTGATACATTCGGAGCAGATCTGTTGACCATCCCTGTAAGCAGTCCCTGCCTCAGTGATCTCTGTAGTAGTGAGTGCCCTGCTGACGCAGAGTTGGTCAAGACAGAAACCGCGAGTCGTGTCTGATTGCTCTTTTCTGCCTTACCCCGCATCTGCACGTTCTGTCAGTTGCACCCCGAATCTTGAATTTCTCACTTCTCTTTCTCTCTGTTTACTACTGTTTACACTTTGGTCCAAGCCATCATCATAGTATCTCTCCACAAACTATTGTTATAAGTTCATAACTGGTTCCCTTCCCCACTTTCCTCTTACTTGTCAGTGATCTTTTAAAAATGTAAATCACATCCATACCCATTGTCCTCCTTAAGACCTTTCAACCGCTTCCTATTGTGATTAGAATGAAATCCAAACTCCGCACTAAGGTCCACAAAACCCTGGACAAGACCTAGTTTCTGCCCGCCTCTTGGACTGCACTTCTGTCTGGCTCACCTGTTCCAGCCATGTCCTTTAAGTTCCTGTGACAGCAAACTCACTCCTGCCCCAGGACTTTTGCACATGCTATTTCTTTTACCTGGAATGTACTTTCATTAAATTTGGGTGAGGCTAACTTCATCAGTTACAATGTCACGTTTTCCAAAAGGCCTCCCCTTATGAAAGGATACCTGCTCTGTTTCCACTCTGTAGCAAGCAGATTTCATTGTTTCAGCTGATGCACTCCCTGTGACAACACTGCTGGAACACAACAGACTGTTACAAGATTACATATAAAGTGTGTGTGTTACTAAGGGGGTGGTGAGAGATCCATAACAATGTTTAATTGGATTCTAAAGGGGTCTGAGACTTAAAATGGCCAATGAAAGGTTAAGAGAGTCAGGAGAACACCTTAGAAGAGAAAATGGTCATCTCTAGATGACAAATGTAGGAAAGAAACAATTCAGTACAGTTGTGGTTCATTTTGATTCTTTGATGCCAAGAATTAGGTAGCTGTTTGTATTTTTTGCAGATTTGGAGTTGTATAAAACTGATGAACAATGTCATAAATACCTTGCAGTTTAAAAGATTTTTTTTTATATATTCCAGTCCAGCTGAAACATACAAGTCAAGGAAGGTGCTTTTCGGAGAGGTGCAGCTTTTTTTATCATTGAAAGTGTTGTGTAGCTTCAAGTTAACTATATGCCAACTCCTTATAAAAGTAGTACACTACTTAATCACTTTGAGAAATAAGTCACTTAAGGCATAGCAGGGGTTTCAGACATTTTGGTTTCACACCACTTTATAGTCTTAAAAATTAAGGACCCTAAAGTGCTTGTGAGAGTTTGTGTGTGTGTGTGTGTGTGTATTTACCATATAAAACAGGTTTTAAAAATACTAAATCATTTAAAAACAACAATAATAAGCCCATTGCATACTAACACAAATAACACTTTTTAAGTAAAAATAACTTTTACAAAACAAAGAAAAAATAGTGAGAGGAATGGCACTATTTTACAGTTTTGTAGATTCTCATATCTGCTTATATGTTTAGTCTGTTGTGATACCTAGTTTTGATTGAACTGTGAAGAAAATCTGATCTTACATGTATCTGTTTTTGGAAAAAGTATAATAAGATAATCTGAATATTCTCCTTTGGTACTTATATCACTTCTTGGCAAGTGAGAGTTTCTTAAATTTGTAACAGTGTGGAATCTAAAACCATGTCAATGGGTTTCTTATTCTGTTAAATTCCATTGGTTTAATGCTGTACTTGGAATGATTCTTTTATCCAAGCATGATTTTATGATATCGCACATTGGTCATTTGGGAAATACTGGCTCACCCAGTGACACAGGTTTACTGAGAAATGACACGTCCCCAGAACGCTGGGTTAGTGTGTATAAAAATTTGAGAACAGTTATGAGATGGACATTATATTGTAGAATAGATGAAATAGACAGGTCTGGGTGCTGGTGTGCTGCTGGGTAGGTCTTTAACTGGGTCTCATTTTCTTAATCCAAAAATAAGATAACATTTTTATTAATTATTGATTGTTTTTTAGAGCTAGGGAGAGACACATCGATTTTGTTGTTCCATTTAGATGCATTTATTGGTGAAATTTTTTTTGTCTTTATATTTTATTTTAGAGAGAGGGGTAGGGAGGGAGGAAGAGGGAGAGAAACAGTGATGTGAAAGAGACATTGATTGGTTGCCTTCCCTACACACCCTGATTGGGAATGAACTCACTACCCAGGCATGTGCCCCGAACAGGAATCAAACTTGTAACCTTTTGGTTTGTGGAATGACACCCAACAAACTGAGCAACACTGGCTGGTGCCATTGGTTGATTCTTGCGTGTGCCCTGACCAGGGATTGAGTCTGCATTTTTGGTTTATCAGGATGACACTCCAACCAACTGACCTACCTGGCCAGAGTGGTAATGGTTTTTGATGAGTGGATTTGACTGTTTTTCACTAGTGTTCCTCAAATAATTAAATACTACACAACATTTGACTTAAATCTTCTGAGGAATTAGTTTACATACTTTATATGATCAGGTTCCAGGTGAAGAGTTCTTAACTCTGAGCAAACAAACTCAAAAAAGTTTCTTTAAAGAAAGGAATTTTACATGTATTGTACCCAGTGATCTGGACGGCCTCTGCCAGCCCCAGTATAGTTTATAGATTCACTGGACAACATCGTTGAGTTACTTTGATTCAGAAATCATGCTAGGATCTAGGGATACAAAGATTAGAGATGCCATAGGCGGTTTCTAAAGGGAGCTCATGTTGTAAGAATCCTCTGCACTAAATGAGTAGGACACATGCAAAGCAATAGAGTGTTTGGGGGAAATGAGGCTTTTCTGGCCATTGCATTAAGCAGTCCTGCTAGAGCCTGTCTGGTGAGGCTGAGGAAAGTGGATCTATGGGTTTCTTGTTTTGGAATTCACAGATAGGCTTCAGAGGAGGTTGTGACCCTCCCTTCCCCTCACCTTTTTTTACAAGAACTTGTGTGTGTCTTCATCAGATTTGCAAAGGGTTTTAACCTGCATAGTTAGGAAAACCCTTCTAATTATGAGACTAACTCCTGGGTAGATAATCCAAGGGAATTTAATTGAATCTACGGTCATAGAAGTACTTGAAAGAACCAAAGATCTTTTCTCAAAAACTACTAAGCTTTTAGACACTTGTCCAAAAACAAAACAAAAAAAATTCCTTTTCCTGTGGTAATTGTAGGTAGTTCATGAAGCACAGTGTTAAGGTTAAGGATAGGGAGGTTGAGATGCATGGCTGTTATTTATTAAGTTGTAAATATGTTTTTTTATGTCTTCTTCTGTGCTCTTGCCCTTTAGAAGTTTTAGATTTATTTGCAGGGAAAAGTTATGCAGACTAATAACATCTGGCTACATAGTCTCTTCTTTGCAAATAACCTGAGCAACATTAGATTTTGTGTGTGTATCACACTAAAAAACACTATAAAAAATGTTTGTAATTGCCCATTGTTAGAACAACCTTTTCTTCATTTACTTCTGCTTCAAACACTGTTTATACTTACTTTTTAGAATTCAGATTCTGCTGATTGCGTTGATAATTATACCATGTATTGTTAATCTTTTTTAAGTGACTGTGTGAGTGACTGCTTCGGAACCACGTGTCCAGTGTGTAGTACCCCAGCCTGGATACAGGATGTGAAGATAAACAGACAGTTGGACAACATTATTCAGCTTTGTAGTAAGCTTCGCAATTTGCTACATGAGAATGAGCTTTCAGGTGAGAAATTTCAACTGTCTCTTAGTTACGTAACTGATGAATTCGTATTGATTGTGTAAAATGTGTAAAGATGTATCAGGAATTCTGAATGACATATTTCAGTTTTTCAGATTTATAGTGTTTGGAATCATTTTGAGTGACACATGCCTTCCATACAATTAAGTCTGATTCCCATTTTCATAGACAAGAAACCAAGGTTCGGAGGTCAAATGATCTTGCTAAGGTCACACACAGTCAGCACCAAGAGCAGGAGGACCAGAGCCCACGTTTCCACTGGTGGCCCAGAGACTTTCTCACCACCTGCACTGCCTGCCTTTTCAGTTGTGACAATTTTTGTGTAATGTACATAGAGAATAATGATTTTGTCCTTATTTAGTGATTTTGCCCTAAACTCACGTAAATGCACTTTTACAAGAGAGAATACACCTTCTTCCATGGCGCACGCTTTGAAAGAGCAAAAATCTAATATTTATCTTTTTTTATTTAAATGGGGGTTAATGTTTTCCAAATTGTTCTTAGACTCTGCATATTAACTGTGTGTCTTCCTATTGTGCTTTCTGCTGAGAACTAATTAGCTGTGGAACATAAAGTGTTTTGAAGCTTTATAATTAGATTTTGGAATTGTCCTTTTATTGACCAGATCACGTCAATTTAACTTGTGTTTCTATGTAGGAGAACCGTTTCTTGACTGGCTGGAAGCCACTAATGATTGGTATAGTGCATATAAAAGGGCTGGACTTCTGTTTTAAAATCTTTTGATCTTAGTTTTCCAATATGGTATCAACTGTTAAAGGATTAAGTGATTGGAGAAAATGAAGACATAAGTGGAACCCTTTGTCTTATTCACCACATCCATATTTTTAAGAAGAATTAAAATCATAATTATCTATAAAAAGTTTTCATCTACTTATCTAATTATTATATTAGACTCCATTCTGTTATGATAAAATTGCTATAGTGCTAGAAGTTTTACTGATTTTCAGATGGAATTATACACATACACATTTTTAAAAGTACTTACCTTTTTGAAAAAAATACTGTTTTGTAAATCTCATTAGAGCACAATGAGGAAAAGTTTTATTATTAAGTTCATCTGTTCCTTTCTTTCTTACTCAGAGACAGTGCTAATAGTGTTTATTTCCTAATGAAGGAGATTACTGTGTGATCTGGTCCCCGCCCCCTCCCTGTCACATTGATTAAAGCACCAGGTGTTAATCAAGGGTCCCTGCATCTTTGGCAGTGATGGGGGTGGAGGGGGAGGGTCAGTGAACCTCTTGAGTTAATTGTACAACACGAAAGATGCTCATGTCTCCGTGACAGTGGTTTTCATGATATCCTTACAGATGATGTGCGGTCTGTTAGGAATGTTGGCGAAATGAGGGAATTTGGGGTGTTTCTGCGAGATTTGTGTCCTGTCAGGATGTTAGGACTGGATTCTTCTCCAGTTGCTGTGCAGTGATTATTAGTGGTAATATAGTGGTACTAGCTTGCTAGCGCTCCCAGAGCGAAGGAGCACACCATAAACTGGGTGGCTGAAACAATAGAAAGTCTTATCTCACAGTTCTGCAGGCTAGAGTCCACAGTCAAGATGTTGGTGAGGCTGCTTCCTTCAGGGTCTGTGAGGGCTGAGTGTGTTCCAGGCCTCTCTCCCCACCTGGTGGATGGTGGTGTTGCTGTTCGCCTGGCATTCTCCTTGTCCTGTTTGGGTCAGATTTCCACTTCTAAAAAGGACACTGTTCATACTGCATCAGAATCCCTCCCTGCTCATCTCACTGATTACATCTATAATGACCCTGTTTCCAAAGAGGGTCACATCCCGAGGTGCTGTGGGTGGGACTCCTATGTATGAATTTTAGGAAGGACACAGTTTAAACCATAACAAGTCATGTGACATTTGTAATGGTGAAAGAAGGGAAGTGGAGTAGTTCTTGATGAGTAGTAAATTGTGGCGGACTGAGGCACCTGGTAGGTGCCGTGGGTGCAAAGAAGAATAAGGTGGATGACTTCTCCAGAAATTTTACTGTAGTCAGTGAGGTTTGAATCCTCATTATGGTGTTGAAATGCCTCAATATTTCATCATCAAAAAATTTTTTAGGAAAATTATTGTTTGGAACAAGTCTTCGTATGGGATCAGAGGCCCTTTAGAATGCCATCTTTCTCATCTAAGAGTAAAGATGGAGTTTGGGGAGAGAATTCTGGTGATTCACTTTGTGGCTATTTTGTATTTGTTTTCCTTATTATATAATAAGCAATTACTTTATCCCTTAGCAGACTGGAGTAGTGCTGGCCTTAAAACATTAATTTTTTTTAAATTTTATTTATTTATCTTTAGAGGGGAAGGGAAGGAGAGAGGGAGAAAAACCTCAATGTATGGTTGCCTTTCATGCATCCCCTGCTGGGAACTGGCCTGCAGGGAACCAGCCAGCAACCCCGGTATGTGCCCTGACTGGGAATCGAACCTCGATTGTCTAGTTCGCAGGCCCGCGCTCAACCCACTGAGCTACACCAGCCAGGGCAAAACATTAATTATTTTAAGATGATTTGAAATGTCACAGTTTGGATAATATATAATCAGAATTTCCGGAGCTGGGAGGTTATCTTTAATCCCTTTATTCTGTAGTTGAGGGAATTGAGGACCTAGGTTAAGCAAAGTTCTCAGTTGTACGAGTTAGTGTCTTGCTTTTTGTTTGTCTTTTAGCACGTTGCTTTTGTGAGAAGTGTCGGTGCTCATTATGTTTACTGAATTGAGTTGGAGAAGAAGTAGCAGTGCTAAGATTTCATTCATAGCCCAGAGACTAAATGTAATTAAAACAAAACAGTTTTAAAACAGATTCTTAGGTTTTGACAGTTCACTTTATAATGGTAAGATCCTCCTTTGCTACTTTCACAGAAGTTGAGAAATGTAAGTTCTATCTACAATATAAATTTTTAATCCAGATCTCATTGCCATGGTGCAGAGCTCTTCCTACTCACTGTGAATTGCATTGTCAGCAGCGTTTTCTCCCAGTGTGCCTCCAGACAAACTGGCCTGGAAGGACGTTTGAGATTTTTGAAAGTGTTTCTGTATAGTTTACCTATTCAATATATTTTATGTGGTACCTTTATGTTAGTTTATCCAGCAAGTACTTCTAAAACAAGTGATATAAGGTGAATGAGTAGAGAGAAATAATAGTTGGATCAAATAATGGTTGACCTCCTTTATAATGAGGAAACTGGAGATGATCTCATAAAATAAAGGTATTAGATTAAGTGATTCCTAAGGTCTAGCTCCAGAATTGTATGATTAAATAGTCAAGTGTTGAAGATGAATTGAGAGCAATGGTTAGACATCCCCCATTTCAGTATTTTTTTAAAGCTGTAGTTCACAATTTATCTTCCAAGTGAACCATGTTATTTCCATTTACTATAAAATATGTAATTACTGTAATTAAGGTGGATAATTAGGAAGAACTTGTCAAGTCATGGACATAGTATGTGGTATATACAGGAGATAAAGAAGCCTGATTTACAGTAATACTTTCTAAAATGAGCTTCTAAATAGTTGCACAGATTTCCCTCGGTTCAGTGTGTTTTAAAAGGAAGAGACGGTCATAAATTTTCCTGACAACCATTTATGGATAATTTTGCCGTATTCTTTATAACATAATTTGCTTTCTTCTATTGGAGTTAAATTTAAGTTTTTATTTTCTCTTGGCTCCATCATATTAAATCAGACCTTGCAGGTGCTGGTCAAGTTCTGCAAAATATATGTTGGTGTTGCTGACATTAAAAAAATTGTGATTATGCTTTCATTGAATCACAGTTTTATTTTCTGGTTTGAGGGAGAGATGCTGGTCTTTCTGTGGCGAATTATATAGTGTTTCACATATGCTGTGACTTTTATAATAGGTGAAGATGAGCATTTGAATAGCTGTGTTGCTTTTATTATTATTATTTTTTTAGATAGAACTGAGCACTTCTTAGCTTACAGAATAATCATTCTTCAGTGAGGGCGTTAATGTTGCACAGATGGTAGCAAAGTACTTTCCTTTGATTTTTTTTAATAGGGGGCTAGTTTGTCAAAGAGATTTCTCAACTTCTGTTGTGAAACCTATAATGGAGGATAATTTGAAAGGCACACAATGTACATCATTATACTCCTTTGATGTAGATTAATGATAGCTAAATCACATTTCTAATTGCCTCCCTTTTCTATAGTTTATTATTCAATTTTAAGAATAAACTTGGCTAAGCAGCTCCTTGGCAACATGTGCACCTCTGATCCTGGACAGTCTGTGGAGCACTACGAAATGTTTCAGCTCAGAGAACCGAGTCCCCTTAGATGCCATCATTGTGGAATTGACTATGGAGAGGAAGGACCAGTGTTTTTCCTCCTGAATTGAATATGGTAATTTACCATGCTTACAAGCACTCACCCATTAAAACTGTTGTAGCTGTTAATAGTGTGGTTTACTTCCAACAGTGGGGGTGGTTTTGCTTTTTATAGTCTTAGCTGAGATGTGCTGTGTAAAATTCAGAATTTACAACATGTTTGTTGTTGTGGCCCTTGCTTAGTTAGGACAATATGTACAATTAAAATATTCTTGACTACATTTAGTATTATTGGATGACTAGTGAAATTACTGTGTACCTATAAATTGTGTGGATATATGCTGTTGACTGCTTTTTAAGAAATATGTACACCTGAGTGAAATTTTAGATTGAATGTGTTGCTGCTACTTACAAGCCTTAAATTTTTGTTAAACACCTAATTCTGTATTTTCTAAGTTTTATAAGATCAAGGACTTCAGTATTTGACTTTTTGGTTGAAAATATCATTATCTATATTGAAATTAAAAAAAATTGTAAATAAAAAAAATACAAATTTTTACAGACTACCAGAGGATAAACCTTTAGTCTTTATAACCCTCAGTCTTTCTTAAAACGTAATCCTGGTAACATTTCATTTCGACCTTTCCTCTAGACTTGAGATTATATCAGAAATGACTTAGTTTGAAATCTACTTACCACTGCAAAGGGAGACCTTGTTGAATTTAGACATTAAATCTCTGTGTGAGTTGATGTACCTCATTCTGTTTGTTATGATTTGCAGGAGTTGAAGGTCAGCTACGACATCAAAGGATGTGGAAGGGTCGGTCCTTCTTCAGACACACACTTGCTTTCCCCGGGTTTATCAGTTACCACTGTCTTCCCAGTGCAGTTCTTCCATTTTTCCCCCAGGAGTAAGGGACGACTCCTTCGGAGTGGAGTGCAGTTTGACTGAATTCCTTTGCTAGGCAGGGTCATGTCTTCGTAATTTTTGCTGAGATAAATAATAATTTTTTGTTTTTCAAAATGCACTATTTTTTCTTTTTTTTAAACCTGTCTAAAGTACTGTCTTGGCAGATCTATTTATAACGATAGTACTTTTATACTCAAGAAACATGAGGTAGAAGAATAGAAGATTCGATTTTGAGCTTTAGAGAAGTTTTGAGATTTTACTTTACTAACTTTCTAGTGTGTTATTAACTTTGAATGGATAAAATAATAAAACAGTGTTTGGTGTGAAGAAAAAAGTCTGTGTAACACCTTGGTCATGTAAGACATGCATATTTCCTGAACAGTGGGTGTTGCCAGTCCTTAGGGGTAAGACCCCAGGGCTTTCTTCTTACAGTGACTTAATTTTAGAACTTGGTTCGTTAAAATGTTTCCTTAGATCCTGTAATGTAAGAAAAGCTTCACACAAACTTCTTTGCATCTTGAATAGGGAGTAACCTCTGAGGAGAAAAACAAAACGTAATTCAGGTACTGAATTTTGTCGTATGTAATTTAGTGCTTCCTTGTATTATGCACACCCATGATTTGGGCCCAGACTTTCAGGAAGAAACTTTATTTTTAATTTTTTAATTCAGTTCTTTATTTGCTTATATTTAGACACTTGTTTTTTGTATTATAAAGGAATGCTAGCATTTATTTTTGAACATATTATGGTATGAGAAATTTTACTGTAACATAATTACAAAACACAAGAACAGATACATATTATAGTACAAGGAATTTTGTGTTACAAATACAAATAATTACAAAACACAAGAACAGATACAAGGTATTTCAGGTTGTACTCATGTATAATGCGCATCTTTTTCCTTCAAAAATGTGGGCAAAGAATGTGCATTGCACATGGCGAAAATACGGGTAGTTTCCTTTTTTCTTTTTCGTTTTTCTTTCTTTCTTTCTTTCTTTTTTTAAAGCATAGAGCACAGAAAACATGTCCTCAGTGTCCCAGTGAGGGAGACTGTTATGACATTGTTCATGTGGAGCCCGTGACATTACTGGTCAGTCACCGTTCAACCTGCAAGGTGGTGTGCTGGTGGCTCCCCTGCCTTTCCAGGTTTTGCTTCTGCGCCTGAAACGGCCTTTTGATACCCAGTTACTGTGGAGAGAGGAGCGCTGGGTTGTGAGTTAGGAGACTCCCGTCCACCTCCCACTTTCAGTTTTCATCCCTCATCTTTAAACCAACAGAATTGGACGAGTGATTCTTAAGATAACTTTTAGCCCTTGAAGTGAATTCTAACCTCCCTTGTATAAATACTCATCCCGATTTAAGGAAGGATATAAAATAATTTATTTATCAGTTCTCCGAATATTAAGTATATGTTCACCACTGTGCTCGTGGCCTGGGTTGGTTTTACCTGTCTGTAAGGGGAGAATTTGAAGGAATATTTTTAAAAGCAAAATGTATGAGCTTAGAGGCAAAAACAAAGTAGAAGAACTTGAAAGGGTCACTTGTTGGAATGAACGTGGAGTGCTGGTGGGACAGTTCTCTCGCCGGCGGTTTCTTGAGCATCTGTTAATGGGCAAGACTGGTAGGTCTAAAATACGGTGCATACAGAGATTTTAACGCGCAGTGCAGGCAAGGAGAACTCACTTCTGTGCGTCTCCTCAGCTCTTGCACTGCCACGCCACGGCACCGCTTCACTGCGGACACCAGGTGTGGGCTTTAACACACAGTGAGCCATTCAGTGACACCAGCCGGTGTCCTGTAGTTTGACTCAATTTGGACCCCGTCCACCTCGAGATGGCATCAGATCTCACAGACTGTCCTCCCCCTGACCCCACAACCTTCTTGGGCTGATTAATTTGCTAGAGTAACTCACAGAGCTCAGGAAAATACTGTACTTACTCCATAACTGGCTCATTACAAACGGATTTGATTTGGGCAGAACCAGATGGAAGAGATGCACAGGACGAGGTGCATGGGGAGGGGTGTAGAGCTTCCATGGCCTCTCCGGGCACATCACTCTCCCAGCACCTTCACCTGTTCACCAGCTCGGGAGCTCTGAGCACATCCTTTAGGTTTTTGTAGAGGCTTTCACACATCGGTGCCATTGGTTAAATCATTGGCCATTGGTGATTGACTCAACCTCTAGCTGCTCTCCCCTCTCGGAGGTCAGGGGGTGGGACTGAAAGTTCTTGCCCTCTGATTGTGGTTGCTTCCTCTTACCCCAGTTTTGTTTTCATTTGTTTAATTTATGTAATAAATATATGAGAACATTCTTTTTTTTGGTAGCTGATAACACATGGTATAGAGTGTATAGGGTAAACGTGAAAAAATTTCTCTCTACGGTTTTCCCTTAACCAGAAAGCATAGGTTCCTTTCTTTTTCAGAAGGACTGTTTTTGTCGTTTAACCATCTCATTTTATTTTCTGAATTTATGGAAAACTTGAATATAAATGCAATAGAATTTTTAAAATATAAATGGGATTTTGCCACACTTAGACAGACATGTCTTCAAAGTCTTCACATGTTAGTTAATTATGTAACAGCTAAGAGTTTGTAGTATAAATGCCCCATCGTTAACTCACCCAGCTGATGAACGCTGACTTTTTTCCTCATTTATGCTACTACAAACATCACCATGATTAACATTCTTACACATCTCTGGCAGGCACATGCATGAATATTTTGTATGTTTTATAAGATAGATTACTAGAGGTGAAATTCCTTTGTGAAAGGGTATACACATTTAAAATTTGCAAATATTTTATCATATTTTCTTTGAAATACCTGGATTTGATTTGCAAATTTTTTAGCAGGTTTGCGTCTTTGATCATAAGTGACAAAGGTCTCAATGTGGGTTCTTTCACATGCAGTGAGCTTGGGAAATTGAATGTTTTTGTAATAAGCAGAAATTGGCTTACTTTCCTGTCCCCCGTTCCGCCCCCTCCCCGCAAGGAGATACTACCACACCTGTTGTAGTTGCTTGCTGCAGACACTCCTGAGAAGTGGCCTGGATGAGGAGCAGGCAGGGCCCCGCCTCCTTGGTACTCCATGTGAGGATGTGCAGGGATGGTCAGGGCCCTGGCAGGGCCTCTCTCTGGTCACCTGTATCGATGTTCTCTGGGTGCATTCAGTGGTGTAAGCCAGACACATGGATATCACCCTTGTCACCTCCTTCCCCTTGTGTTCTTTTATCACCAAATCCTGTGAATTTTAGCTCCTAAATATTTTTCAATAATTCTACTTTTTTTTCCTATCACCACCTCCCTAGTCTCTTATCTTTTACTTATGCCTCTTAACATTTGACCTCTTAACATTTATTCTTGCGTCTACTCTTGCCTTCTTCCGGTCTGTTTTCCTACACTCGAGCCAAGAGGGATCTTTTAAAAACACAGAGGTAGTCTTGCCACCTGACTTAATTTAAGTAAGACGTTTTACTCGTTTTCTGTTGCTCTTAGCATAGGTATCGAAGTCTTTAACATTGCCAGCAGGCCTTTTCATGGCCTGGTTATAGCCCATTTTTATAGTCTCATCATTATACCACTTTATTCCTTGGTCTCTGCAAGGCAGGTATACTGGCTGTGGTTAGTTCCTTAAATATTTAAACATATTGTAAGCCCTACTGCATCTTTAAACGTTTTATCATCTTTCCTTGCCTCTTAGTTTAGTTAATAGTCTTTTAGATTATGTGTCTGGTACTTTTTACCGTATCTACTGCTACAATCCTTGCTAAAGCCACTAGGATCTTAATCTTGGATGATAGCCATGTAATGGTCACTGCGTGCCCTCCCCCTTTCCTTTTCTAGAGTTCTTCCTTTGCGTAACAGCCAGAGTGATCATTTATTCTGAAGTGGAAAGCCTTCTTTCCCTTCCCTGAATTGAGGCTCAGTGAGATGCAGCTTGCTTTACCTGAATTGTAAGCTCTCACTCATTTATTCAGCAAACTTATTGAGCATATGTACCGGACACTATATGCACTGGGTCTTTGGCAGAGGAGGGATGTAAATATTTGCCTTTAGAGAGCTTGTATTTCGATGGGAAGGGAGAGACAAGACACAAAAAACGTAAGTACGAGTGAAATAAGTAGGAGGGGAGGATTTGTAAGTTTAATCGGGAGGTTAGGCATAAGGGATAGTCTTAAAAAAAAAGACATTTGAGCAATGACCAAAAGTTGGTGAGAGAATGAGCCATGCAGTTGTTTGGGGACGAGTTTTCTAGTAAAAGATGTAATACATTTTAGGAAAACCATAGACAAAATTTGGGGGGAGCTCAAGATGAGAGAGATTAAGTTCATGTAACAGATTTCTTTCCCTTTTTTCTACCAGATTTAAAAGAAGATACATCCAGGAAAAGTTTATTTAATGATGCAGAAAGTAAGAAGAATTCGATAAAAATGTGGTTTAGTCCACGAAGTAAGAAGGTCAGATATGTTGTAAGTAAAGTTTCAGTGCGAACTGAACCTCAAAAGATAAATGATGAAAATGCTCAGCAGGCCTCCGCATATGAATATGTTTCTGCAAGTCCTCCAGTGGATGTATCTGTGAGGGCTAAGAAGTCTGCCACAAGATCTGGAAAAAGACAGAAAAAGAGAATTTTAACCAAAATCAACCAAGAATGGAATTTAGAGGCAGACAGAAAAGATGGTGAACTTGACTCCAAAGGGGAATCTAAGGAAAAGCTGGTATCTTTCTGTATGCAACCAACCATTATTGCCAGTCCTCAGAGAAACGGTGAAATAGACTTACTAGCCAGTGGCTCTGTAGTGGAAGACGAATGTTTTGGGAATTTAACCGAAGTCTCTTTACCGCTGGCTGAGCATATAGAGTCTCCAGAAATTGAGAGCAGGGATGAAGTAGCAACTCCTGAGAAGAGTCCCTGTGAGAATGACCTTGCACCTAAGAAATCCGTGCCCAGAGGTCATAAAGGAAAACGGCGTCGAGGGAGACCGTCCAGTCCCGTGTCTAAGAGATGCAGGAGCAGCACTGCCAGCGCCAGAGGAGGTGCTGTGAAGCAGACGGTGCTCTCAGGAAACATGCCGACTCCTGGCTCTTCCTTGCCTCCTCCAAGGAAACGGAGAGCTGGTGATGCAGCAAGGCGGAAAACCAGTGACGCGCTGGAGGAGTCCATCAGCTCCTCGCCGGGCACGCCGCCTTCCACGCTGAACAGTGCAGGTCACGGACGGATGCTGTCCAGCCCCTCGGCCATGAAGCTGCTGCCTGGTAGTAACCTTACGGCTGTGAAGAGAAATCATAAGGGGGAGACTTTGCTCCATATTGCTTCAATTAAGGTAGGAAGCTTACTTTGAAGTACAGTTTCAGAAAGAGACCAGGTATTAAACAGTGCCTTTGGTGTTTGTGAAAAATGAGACCAGTTTACTAGGATAATTAATCCACCACAGGTGCGATAGCCTTAAAGCGTGAACAAGAAGTAAAATTCGTAGGGACAACATGCCCGTCTCAGTGACAGCAGTGGCCCCTGGGCTCCAGGAACATGATCTCGCAGCAGAAAACCCGTGTTTTAATATTTTAGCCTCTACTCTGGGAAGTGCTTTCATTTTTGTCTGTTCCATAATGGTTTTGTTCAGTTTTCACCATATCGTTTTATGAATGTAGATAATTGCCAAGTTACTGCTGGAAACATGTCTAGGAAAAGAGTTAGGGGCATTGTGAGAGGTGGCAAGCTTCTGTCAACTTGACACTCCTGGGGGCCACTGGCGGAATTCGCGAGGTTGAAAGATGTGAGCGGTGACCGGCTGCGGCACTGGGCTGTGAGAAATGGCTCCTGTGGCTGCTCACCACAAAGGAGCTTCTCTGTGCCCCGCGGCCGGCAGTTCCTTTTACTGGCCCGGTCACTGAAGCTCAATATCTTTATCGGTTCAGCATCTGGGGTGCGGCAGTGCTCCTTCTGTGGGACCCGGCTGGTTTGGGGAGTGGGAGGGGCTTGGACTTTGAAACTGACCCAGGTGCTGCAGGTGTAGGGAGCAGTCGGTGCCATAGCTTCACAGACTGTTAGAAAATGTGACCTGGCAGAGTTTAGTGCCAAAGTAAAGTAGGTTTGGGGATCTTCCTCTACATTCTTGGGGCAATCCTTGGGTCTTTGGTATGGATGGGGAACTTGGGAAGTCTGGAAGGAACCAACCCCTTCATGAGGTTGGGGACGTAAAACCTGTAGGATGGACGTGGAGTGGACGTCCATCGAGTCCAGGGAACCCGGTGTTTTTGTGTGGAGAAGGGGAAGAGCACAAAAGGGAATTTCTCCCAACTGTTAGTGTTTTGTTACTTTCCTTGCTTTAACTTCCAATAAATGATGGATGTAGAATACTCTGTATCTGATGCACGTAGGGGGAGAACCTGAAGTGTGACCACGTGTTCAGAATTACATGTCCTTTGGACAACTTGAATTTTCAGTTAGCTCTAGTTACATTTTTATTTTTGCAAAGCATATTTAAAGAAACTCAGCCTATATATATTTTTGTCTTTGTTATAATATTTATATGCATACTATATACACACGAGCTGTTATAAATCTTAACATTATAATGTTATTAATGCTTCATAGACATAAGTAGCCGGCATACTAATAATTATTTTCTGTCCATTTTTCTGAATAATACATAAGAACGTGGCTGCTTTCGTTTTTACACTTTGCTTTCTGAGAATTACTCTCAGACCACCAGGTAAGCATCCACTTAACACTGGCAGAGAGTTTTCTTTTAACCGTAAGAATAATTCATCTTCGTGAATAAGGGTCTCTAGGACCTAGGGCCTGGGCCATGGTTTGGCAAACTGTTGCCAAAAAGAGCAATTAGAGTAAATGTTTCCAGCTTCTCAGGTCAACTCTAACGACTGTTTGACTCGGCTGCGGGTGCAAGAGCAGCCAACGGACACAACGTTAAACTGATAAAACTTTACCTACAAAATCAAGTGCCTGGCCCGCAGGCCACGGTTTGCCTTCCCTTGGCTGAGGTCATGGAAAAAAGCAACTATAGAATCTTAAAACAGGAAAAACAGTGGCATGAGGCTGCTTGTGAATTTTCTCTACAGATCGTTTCATACAAGTTTCGTCAGGTTGTTATGCTACTGAGGGTCTTGCCAGCAGTTGTTAGAGTTGCCTATTTTGATTCTCTTACTTTTTAAAAAATATTTTATTTATGTTTAGAGGGGAAGGGAAGGAGAGAGGGAGAGAAATGTCAATGTGTGGTTGCCTTTTGTGCATCCCCTGCTGGGAACTGGCCTGCAACCCAGGCACGTGCCCTGACTGGGGATCGAACCGAGGTTGTTTGGTTCGCAGGCCCGCACTCAATCCACTGAGCTACACCAGCCAGGGCACTTAATCAAATGCCCTTATTGTCATTATTTGGTGGATTCTGATACAGTACACTTACGAAAAACTTAATTGATTTTTTTTAACTGACCATGTCTGATTGAATTTTATTTTTTAAAATTTTAAATATATTTTATTAATTATGCCATTACAGTTGTTCTGTTCCCCCCTTCATTCCCCTCCACCCTGCACACCCCCTCCCCCACCATTCCCCCCTTTAGTTTATGACCACATGTCTCAAGTTCTTTAGATTCTATATTTCCCCTACTATTCATGCCCTCCCCTTTATCTATTTCCTACCTACCATCTATGCTACTTATTTTCTGTACCTTCTCCCCCCTTCTCCTCCTCCCACTCCCCTGTTGCTAACCCTCCATGTGATCTTCATTTCTATGGTTCTGCTCCTGATCTAGCTGTCCTCTTAGTTTGCTTTTGTTTTAGGTGTGGTTCTTAATAACTGTGAGTTTGCTGTCCTTTTCACTGTTCATCTTTTTTATCTTCTTTTTCTTAGGTAAGTCCCTTTAACATTTCATATAATAAGGGCTTGGTGATGATGAACTTCTTGAATTTGATAAACTTAATAGATTTTTATTGCTTTAAATCACTATTTAACAACACTGTCTCTTTAAAAAATTTGTTATGAGTTGAATGTACACTCCTCATCCACCTTGATTTTAATAGAACAAATACTTGAAAGAAACTTGGTGGGTTTATTTGTGTATTTTTCTTTTTATAAATAATATTTATTTCATTTTTACCCTAATTTTTTTACTTGAAGGTGAATATGAATAATTTGTACTAGGAAACCGAATATTGCAGTTCTGCCATTTTAATTCATGATTTTCACCCGACTTGAGAAAAGGATTAGAGGGGACTCTGAAGTTAAAACTACTGTAAAATGAACAGGGAAAGGGGACAGAGCTTCTGCAGCTGAGTAATGAATGTAGATTTGATGACCTTTCAGACAGCCAAAGCAAATAAGGGGAAGTACCAGGGTTTTTGCTGTCAAAGGTAGATTTTTGTCGTCGTTGTTTATGGCTGTTATTTTTCCTTAAAGTGTCTCGGCAGCCTGGTGTTTTTCCACATTTCCACTGTCCCCTCAGATTGGAAGAGGCACAGTCACATGGTGCACTGGAGGGCAGAGGACCCTGCAGCAGTCTGCGTGTCCCCTCGGGCTAGGCAGCTCCCTTTGCCGCAGTGACCTTTACAGAATGATCTCTGACCTTGGAACCATTGTTGACTAAACTTATCAGTGTCTTGATTCAAACCTACCTCTAGGCATCTTTGTTGGCCACACCTTTCCAATAGCTACCACCCCAGTGGAAGCTACTTGGCTTTTCTTGCCTTGACCACCCGTGTTGATTTCCTTTTGGCTGTCACAACAAATTCCTGCAAACTTAGTGACTTAAAATGGACAAAATTGTTTTCTTAGGTCAGAAATCTGATATGGGTCTTACCAGGCTGAAGTCAGTTGGTCAGCTGTGTAACTTTCTGGAGGCTCCATGCGAGAGTCCATTGTTTATTTGATTTGTTCCAAGGAACTGCATGTTCCCTGTGGTTTTAAGATCGAGATCCTATTTTCTTCTTGTAGCTAAGGAGCTTTCTTAGGTTCTGGAGACTGTCACAGCTCCTTTGTGCCTCTCTCTCTTCCTCTGTCTTCAAAGCCAGCAACAGAGAGTGGAGTCCTGGCATCATCTTCCTGGCCTAGCCAGGAAATGTACTCTGCCTTTGCAGACTCCCATGGTGACACCCGGCCACCCTGACAGTGCAGGAGAACCTCTCCTTTGTAGGATCAGGACCCTTCATCTCACTGCGAAGTCCCTTTGGTCATGTAAGGTAACATGCAAGTTCTGGGGATTGGGCCATAGACAGTTTTTTTTTGGGGGGGGGATGGTCATTATTCCAACCACACCACAAAGCATTTTCTTGCCCCGCTTATTTGCATTCAGCCCTGTGTTTGACAGCCATGGTAATCTGCCTGAGTTAGAACTTGTCGTTTCTCTGCTGCCCACCAGTCACTCCCTGGCCCACTTGAAATGAAATCCACAGGCCTTTTCATGTCTGCACAGCACTGTGAGCCCTCCTTCTTTGGGTTTCTGTTCAACTGCCACTCCTACAGAGAGACCTTTTCTACCTTCTCTAAAATAGCAGCCCTTGCCAAACCCTCAGCTTGTTTTGTCTTTCTCCCTGTAACTATTATTTCCTGACAGTATTGTAGATTTCTTTGTTTTCTCTCTTTAGAGAACAGGAATTCTCTTTGTTCATTTTTACATCTTCAGCATCTAGAACACTGCCTGGCACATAATAGGATGATATTTGTTGAATAAATGAGTGAATTTTCCACTCAGCCACCATCTGAACCCCATCTGCTGTCACACTGAACTTTAACCTTTTCAATTATTCAGAAGCATTCAGCACTTTCATGTGTTCTTTTCTCTGCCTCTTACGGCCCTCTGCAGCCTTCTCTTTTCTGTCCTGGTCTGTTGTACCTCAAAGCTGAGCTCACATCTTAAGTTTTTTCCTTCCAGAATTCCCAGCATTAGTTTCTTCTCCATGGGGACATTATTTTGTGTGCGCTTACATTCACTTAGCTTGCTGATTATAATGTGACTCTTCAATTAAATTTTGTGGTTATCCAGTATATATTCTTCACTTAAAATTTAATTTCAGAATATGAATAACAACTTCATGTTTCAGAAATGAAAACTGAAGGACTTACATTGGAAAGCCCCACTTCCATTTCTGCCCCAGCCAGTACTGCCGACAAGTCCTTCCTGCTAACGCCCTTTCTTATCTTCTCGAGTATGTTTTGTGAATTTATGCAGATAAGCAGATGGCTCCATATTAGTACACACTTTAGTACATATTTATGCTAGCATAGCTTTCCATGAGTTTTCATTATTTAACCTATTTCCTTACTGATGGATGCCCGTTTTTCTTTCTTTTGCTTTTATAAACAATACAATCTTTGTATTGTATTGCAATCTTTGTATTGTAAGCATTCTTTGTTTCATATGTGAGCAGGTATGTCTTTACGGTAAATTGCTGGAAGTGGGTCTTCTGGATTAATATAAAACACCTGTTATCTTATTTACCATGGCAATGGAAGGATCTTAGGAAACATCCAAATTGCCTAAATATTCAGGCTGCCAGAATGTAGGTTGATCTTCAACAGGTGCTGTCTGGACTGTCAGTTCTCGTGTCCTTTTCCCCTCAGGGTCATGGGTACACAGGCCAGCTGGGTAGTTTTTAGTTTGGGGGATATTCAGCATCACTTGAATGAAACCTGCACAGGACTGTTCTTAAATATCTTGACTGTACTTTTATTTTGTTACACTCTAGGGGTGTTGTGAACATTCTCCTTTAACCAGAACAAAAGTTGAGGACTGTTAGGCTCTTATTCCATATGTTTCTCTTGGAGTGTGCATGTTACCTATGGTTAAAATGCTACTAAGAATATATTATAAATGAGAGATTTTATGAGAAAGCATTATGACTAAGTAGAAACTAAGATATATACTCTATTCTTCTGATTTAATGAAAAAATACCTCAGTATTTGACATTTCTCTACACATAAAGAAAATTTTGATTTGTTACTCAATTATGTCACCTTTGCTGGAGAATTTGTAGGTGCTGGGAAAAGCCTCCCAAAGTTCTCTAGTATAGATACTTAAAATGGTAATGATCACTCACAATTCGTGTCACGGAAGTGGATGTATTATGAAGTACAAGAAAGGCTTGAAGTTGACATGTCATATGATGTATTTACTATGCAGACATAACAGAATATTTTGAAGGCAACTTACAAGGCATGATGTGCTTAACATGACCAAGGCGACGAGGCTCTCCTGGGTGGAGAGGAAATCCTTGGTGAGGAGCTTCCTTCAGGGTCTGACTTTGTAATGCATTAGACTTTAAGGCAGTCATGTTGCATTGTGTGTGCAGTTGCATTATTGTGCGTCCTCCATACTAGCTTCCTGAAACAGCAGTGAAGGACTCAAAAGCAAACCGGCATCTGTGATACTTTCAAGATTTGAATTTCTAGAACACCTCTGGAGTCAGTACCCATTTTCCTCTCTGTCACCCTCTACCTTTGTAACACCAGGAACTGATGTTATCAAGACTGGTTGTCAGAATCATCTGTGGAATATTTTATTTGGTAAACTCTGGTTCGGGAAAGGTTTAATATATTTTAGAGTTCCATTCCAGATGACTAGATTTTCTTTTTAATGACATTTAGTTGTTAAAAGAAGTTTTAGGTACTTGGTCAGTTCATGTATGTGGAAAGCTTAGCCATTTGGGGTAACTTATTATTATTACTATTGCACTTAACCGTAATGTCCTATACTACTTTTATAAAGATGTTAATTAGTAGTATTTTGGAATAGTAATAGCTAACCTTTATAATATGGACAAAGTTTTGTTTGTGTGTGTGTTTGTTTTTAGAATGTTGACTTATTTGATAGCGTGTGCAAGAATGTGTGAAGAGTCCTTTGAAGGAAAGGTTAGCAGTAGGAAAATTCAAGGAGCCACACATACTTCCTTATTTTCAGCCTTTAAGGTGTTACTTCAAAATATCAAATTCATATAAAATTTCTTATAAGCCTTGGTAAATACTTTCCTCAGATGACTTTTTGCTGTGGTTTTTTAAAAAATCTCAATTTGTTTTTAAGTTGTGACTAGCGTAAAAGTGAGTGCTTATTACTCAGAAAATATTCTATTACAGAAGAAAGTAATTTAAAGAAATCAGAAGCAGAAGTTAATTTATTTCCTGGAAACTGCATATTGGTTCAAGCTTACCCAGTTACTGTGGACCCTATGTAATTACCGTAATTTTGTGTATGTGCATGACATTAAATTTACATAAAGGAGAAGGGTGAAAATATGACAGACTTTTAAGTGCTAGGGAAGAGAAAGCAGGTTGGGTATTAAAAGCAGTTTGCAAGTCAGCTGTACAGTTCAGGGCAGTCTAGGGGCGCACTGCTCACAAAAGACACCTCTAACACTAAGAAGAGGTTACAGGAAGGAACGGTACTGCTGTCTAGCAGCCTTATGGGACATTCTTCTCTCAGTCTCTGAATTGTCACGATGTTCCTGTGGGACTCTTCCCATGTGATCTTCCATTCCACAGTCGTGTTTACATTATTTTGTAGGCTTCTTTATGTGAATATGGTTTAATGACGGCCATGTAATTATGGAACTTTTTTTAGAAGGATTTTTGTCCACCTGTGTTTACTTTCATGTCAAAGGTTGGGAATGTGTATGGTTATGGCTGTTCATCTGCCCCTAATTGTTTTAAAAAATTTGTATTTTGACAGGTTTTTCTGAGCTCATTTAGAATTGAATTGAATATTAAAGCTAAAGTTGCTAAATACATGTTAACTTGCACAAGAAATACAGAATTTGCACCCCTCAAGAACTATGGAAAATGCTTCTTATTTGACCTGCTGTAGCATTTGATTTGGAGCATACCATCTTTATTTTGTAGGCACATTGAATACTCGAGGTCATTTTGTTAATTAGGAACATAGAAAAATGTATGTTGCACGTGGGTTTGTTTTTTAGAGAACTAAGCAAGCTACTGTTTTAGGATATTCTGTGTTTGAGCCCTGGCTGGTGGCTTGGTTGGTCGGAGTGTCGTTCCCTACACCCAAAGGGTGTAGGTCCACTCCTCCGTTAGGGCCCTGTGTCCAGGTTGCTTGGGTCCCGTTGGGGCGCGTGTAGGAGGCAGCCACTTGGTGTTGCTCACATTCTGTTCCTCCCTCCCTTCGCCTCTCCCTTCCTCGTTCTCTAAAATCAGTAAACATATCCTCGAGTGAGGATTTTTAAAAAGTTAGAAACTAATAATACTGTATTAAGAGCTCTTAATGACTCAACATTATCAACCTATAGAGGATAAAAACGCACTTCAGAAGAGTATCAGGGCTGGGAGTGGGAGAGGAGAGAGTTCATTCTCCCCAAGGAAGTGCTTCACAAGACACAACATTGTTGTAGACAACTTGTCAAATAGAACTTTTAACGTTTATTTTTCAGAGAAATCTCTATTAGTTACTTTTGGAGAAAATAAGCCTTGCTTCTACCTAGAAATATATCTTAGAGTAAATAAGGTGAATAAAAGCTAAATTAGGGTTTTAAGATTAAGGCAACAGTTTTTGGCAGTTTTAACTCGTTTCACTGAGCAGTCTTCATCCTTCACTTTAATTTTGTTTTCGACAATACTCAGAAACCATTTTCATGTATGCTCAAAGAGGATGTATTTTACAAATGAAAAGACTTTAAAAACTGTATTATGATCAGGTGATCTGTGGCTAGTGTGCTTTATTTGGTATTTTGAAATGAATTTCAGTAAGGGTTGTTCATTGCAGAGATTTTTGTACTCTGTTCAGGGATGAACCATCTGAGTTCCAGGACTTGGTACCTCAAAACAGTTAATTCATACAAAACTTACCGTTATTAACTCATGAACAGTAAGCATGAGAGAAAAAGATTTATTTTATCTTAAAGAAGCAGAATCTTTAAAAAAAAAAACCACTAAACAGCCCTGACTGGTGTAGCTCAGTGGATTGAGTGCGGGCCTAGGAACCAAACAACCATGGTTCAATTCCCAGTCTCAGGGCACAGGCCTGGGTTGCAGGCCAGTTCCCAGCAGGAGACACACAAGAGGCAACCATACATTGATATCTCTCTCCCTCTCTCCTTCCCTTCCCCTCTAAAGATAAATAAATAAAATAAAACAACCCACAAAACATCTCATTATTTTATTATTCTCCTTGATGATTTTCAATTTTTCTCTTTTTTGTTCTTATACTAGGGTGACATACCTTCTGTTGCATACCTCTTGCAAAATGGAAGCGACCCGAATGTTAAAGACCACGCTGGATGGACGCCATTGGTAGTTTTCTGTTTGTTTGTGTTTTATTCCCCTTCTGTTTATGTGTTACAGTTGTGATAGTTTATAGTTATGTAGTTATCTATGTATCTATGTAACTATGTAGTTATTCTCTGCCATGTATACACTCTTTTTAATCTGAAAATTGGATTTTCACCAAGTAAGAGAAAATAATTATTTTTCATGTAGCTCATCAGTTGTGGTAGGCACGAAGTGAAGTACCTTTTGTGACTGCCTTTAGATTTCAGAAACCCATTGTACCACACCCTACTGCTGAGTTTAGCAAAAGTGTGGAGCGGTAACTGCTGCGACCAACATCGGGCTTTATTCTGCAGTATTGTGTGTAATCGGAAACATTTCGTGGACCAGAGAGGTCAGAGGAACTGGGTGGGATAGGAATGTATCACAAGGCAGTGAGTGATTCGTACCGAGGGTCTGCCTCAGCCTCACTCATGCCCTATCCAATTCCAAATATGTAGAGGCAGTGATACTTTGCTTCATTAATCATTTTTAGAAGTCTTTGCTTATTATTGCTAATACGCAGCATGAAGAATAGTCTGGAAAAAGAATGGCACAAATACATGGGGACAAGTGCTGTATGGGCAAGTTACATTAGGAGAGTAAGCATGTGACTTGAATACAGCCTTAGATGTGTCAACAAGTAAGTGGATGCCTTTATCCTGGGAACTGCAAACTCACGGGAATTGGGGGATCCTCATTAGGCCAGGAGCAAAAAAGCTGTAAAGTGACTTCTCTTTGCCAAGTTTAAGCTGGGAGGGTTTGGGATCAGTCTTTGTTGTTTGGACTCTATGACCTGGCTAACCTTTTCAAAGTTGTTTTTCTTTTTTAAGCTACTAAGGCAAAATGTAGTAAAAGCTGGCGAGTGATTTAGAGGACCTGATGCCTAATTTGGATTCTTTTCTCCTAGAAATAAGATCTGTAGATGCTTTGTACATATCACCTATTGTGAATTGAATAGCACAGCATGCCGGAGACTTGTCAGATTATAGCAAAGGGGCGTTCTTAGCGTCATTAGACAAAGAAAGACTTGCACGTGAGATATCTTTGAACATTCCATAGTTACCGGCCATGCCATTCATTCCGTAAGCCCTTTTGAGGATCTGTTCCATGTATTTCTGTCATCATTGACACCAGGCACACAGTAATCTGTGTATGTGCGGGAACACCACCTACCTCACGGCCATCCACCCGATTTAGCAAATTCTATTCAGCCTTGGAGAATTTCAAATTTTATGCATGATTTGGTGTTTAAATACTTTCTGAGTTTTTCTTTCTTGTTTTAAATTTCTTATTGTAGAATAATTTAGGAGCTACAATAGGTTTAAAGCTACATTTTCTTCTAAAAAAAAGAGCTCTTGACCTAAAGCTCAAATGAAAGACATCTTTTTCGATGAATTGCATAGATCTTAATCATGATGTATCTTATCACAAAGATTATTAATAGTGGCTTTGACTTTGTCAACAACTTATGGCCTGTACAAGTATTTAGGTTAAAGAACCAATGTACTGACTGTGGCTCTTACTCGTTTTTATAAAGTGTGGTTTTATAGTACATTTAGCTTTTTTTATTACGATGATATCCATTGCTCTTCCTCATCACTCTTTTCTTTTTTAAAAATCAGCACGAAGCCTGCAGTCATGGGCACCTGAAGGTGGTGGAGCTGTTACTGCAGCACAAGGCGCTGGTGAACACCACTGGGTATCAGAATGACTCCCCGCTCCACGATGCGGTTAAGAACGGGCACGTGGATGTAGTCAAGCTGCTACTGTCCTATGGAGCTTCCCGGAACGCTGTGTGAGTAGTGCGTCGCGGAGACTTTTGTTCATTGACGTGAGTTCCTAGATCAAGGTCTGGGATGAAGCAAAGAGTTTATTATCCAGTTGATGGCTCACTTCTCCTTCAGAACTAATGTTAGATGTGACCTTTAAATTCTGGATTTACAACCAGCATTCTTGCCCTTTTCATTCATGATACGTATTTGAGGGAAATATGCTCTTTTTATTCAGAAATAGTTATACAATTTATTTTGGAAGCTTTGACTTTCTGTACAAATTTAGCTTTTATATTCTTTAGATTGATGAATACTTTTTAATAAGAAGCATAGAAATAACTACTTTATATTTTTTTCCTAATACTTCTGAGTTGTTTTAAATATTCCATTCCTCTTCTGCTTTTTCTGCATATTTAGAATAACAACAGTTAAAATATGTAAGAATTCAGATGTTAGGCAAGGGCAGTCAAATTATTTCTTTTTCACATCATTCAGATGAAGCTCTGGGTCAATTGCTTCGTGGGCAGCGATGTGTTCGTGGGTCTTGGCTGCTGCATTTTAAAGTGTTATTGTAAAGATTGTCAAGCAAGTGCTGTATGTGGGTTTTATATCTTTAATCTATAACTTGGTTCATGTCTCCTTACATATTATTTTAATCTTTTCAGATAATGAGGTAGTTGAAGTGAAAATACAAGGATCATATCTCTGTGTCCCCATTGCTTCTGTAGGTTTGAGAGGAAGATGCAAAAGGTCAGGCTTGCTCTGGTTACAGAAGCAAATAAATATAAAATGCAGAGTTCCTAGGCTGTAATTTTTATAGTTAACCATATAACACAAATTAATTACGCAGGGATGTATTATACCTTGGTGCTGTTAGTTTCCGTAAGTGTGTTTAATATTCGTGTCATATGTGAAAAGATAATTGGGGCAAAGTCAGGAGATAAATATTCTTAAAAATCTTTCTTTTTGCTTTGCACACACGTTATATTAGATCCATATACAGATACAGACCTAACAGATAAGAACCTCTTGTGGGTGTAGCAAGTGATTTGATAAAACAAATGGTTGCTTGGGTCAGGTGAAATAGAATGGTTTCTATTCTTGGGTTGTTAAATCAGCCATGACTACTTTAATGAATGGGGCACTGGTCAGGGCATTAGGGAATCGAGCTTTTATTTGTGACTCTGTTACTGACTTTATAGCCTCAGGCAGGTTAATTTCTGTGCCTTTGTGTCCTCACCTATAAAACATGGGTGCTGTCTGTTACTTTTCTGTTTCTTCAGAGCATAGTGAGGATTAATGAGCCAAAACACAGAACCTGCCTTGAGGCTTGCACACCACAAGTCTTCACTGCACTGTGAAGCTTGTTAATACACAAGGTGTGGGCAGGAGACAGTGCACCTGCTTTCGCAGGTGCCCTCTCGGGTGGATGTGTTGGTTTCAGTAGGTTTACCTGGTGAAGTGGCAGATAATGAGAAAAAGATTCTTGTGTTCCATACTTCTTTGTTGTATGGGAATATTTCTGTTGATACCTGTTCAAAACTCCCCCGGCTGGCTGTCCTTCCTCCTCACTACCTCCTTTAAACAAACCCCGGTGGCCAGAGTGAACCTGAGACAAGGGCTGCCAGTCCATCAGAGCCATGCTGAGTGAATGCACAATATCAGAGGCTGCTTTTTTTAAAAAAAACAGATATGTAGTTTAGGATTTGGTTCTTCGGTCTGCCATTAGCAAAGTTTTCCTTGGAAGGATGTAGAATTCTTAATTTGAAAATGTTATATGGACCACTGGCCCTTTCAGTTGCCTTACCTTATTTTAAAAAAATGAATCTGCTACAGCAGAGATAAGTTGTTTTATAGCTTTAAAAAAAGTGTTGCTCTTTTGAATTTCTGTGCTTTTTCCTGCTTCACAAGCCAAGCCACTTGAAAGATTAAAACCTATGTGCTGCGATTTCATGGTTGTTCATAAAGGATTTCACTCATGGACAGTCTCCTGCCAGTTGCAAGAGACTTAACATTAGTGAAATGCCTTGTTGCTTATGTGTGTTTGGGATTGAGTGGTGTGTTTGTGCCAAGTTCAGGTTTAAATTTGTCCATCTTTCCCTTCTGCCTTTCAGTAGTGGTCCAGCTCATCACAGGCACAGTTAGTTGTAGGCAAGGACCTAGTATGACACTCTTGAGGGGAAAGGATGTTAAAGGGTTATACTGTATTCCGAATACCAATTTTTTCCTCAGTCTTAGTGACCAAAAAGAGCCCTAGTGAAGAAAAGTTTTCCAGGGACATGTAGTACATACTCTGTCTTTATACTTATACTATACAAATTATCATTGTAAAGCACCCGTGAAGTATATTATGAAGTTGGGGAAAGTGAAGAGGGTCAACACTACACATGTAACTTAATCTTTCAGACATGCAAACCTACCTGGTCATGTTCATGGCTAGCAGTTACTGAGTTTTCAGCTTTCACTATCTGCTAGGCACTGATTTACATGCTTTTTGGTATATAAATTCATTTGGTCCTCACAACAATCCTATAAAGTAGGTTGTATTATTGTTCCCATTTTACAGACAAAGACACAGACAGAATAGGTTAAGTAACTCTTTTCAAGAGTCACACAGCTACGCATTGGCAGAGCTGGGATCTAAATTCAGGCCGTCTGATTCTATGGCCCCGGCTCGTAACGCTTTGTTGATGCCATTCGTCCGTGTGGGGAGCTCGGTGCTCAGGGGGTTTTTTTGCCCTTTGGATAAAGTTCAACTCCAACACCACTCTTTTTTTTCTTTCTTAATCTGACCACAGCTTACATTTCCAGAACACCCCCTTTCCCCTGTGCCTTCTGCCTCTCTCTTCCTCTCCTTCTCTCTCCCTCCCTCCCTCCCTCCCTCTCTTCCCTCTCTCTCCCTCTCTCTCTCTCCCTCCCGCCTCTTTTCTTTGTCTGTCTTTCTTGCTGTTCTCTGTTTCTTTTTTCAGTGTTCTAATTCCCATATTAGCTTCAAGGCCTTTGCACACACTTTCTTCTCTCCTGGGATACTTGTATCCTACTTCTCTACCCCCTTCTTTTCAGTCTCCTTTCATGTCTCAGAAGTTTTACCAGACTTTTTAAGTCCTTCCTATTTATTTCCCCTGCTTTGTCTCACTGAGCTCTGTGAGGACAGAAACTGCCTTTCATCTCGTTCGTTCTTTAGTGAGTGAAACAGTTCTTAGAGGTACTTGTAGAGTAAATATTTGCCAAGCTGGTTACCAAATGATATTTGTAACTCCCCCTATGTGTATATATATGTACTCATTCTGTGTGTTTTAAATAAATACTAATTAAATGATTATTGATAGTCCGGGCATATGTGTGTTATATATATTAACATATACAGTCATTTTTACATAGAACCTATTGACCTCTGTCAGTAGCGATGATTCTCTAATACTTCATAGCAGCATTTGACAGCAAAAACAGTAACTTAGAAACATGTAGGTCTTCTGCCAGGATTTTAACATAGGTTTAAAATCTTCAATCATTATCATTAAAAGTTTTACATGAAATATATTTTCAGAGTTACAATGAAAAATCACAGCTAAAGGAATAGAGCAGGAATACATCAGTGGGGAAAACTGGTAAAGTTTCAGGTGTACTGTATTGTGAAGAAACAGGGAGAAAGCTATCTTTTTGGTTAGTAATTGTGTAAAGTATTTCTGTAACCAGAAGAATATAATTTTTAGGACTTAGTATAGATAAAGCACATTTTCTTTCTTTCTTTTTTTTTTTTTTAGATAAAATATCTGTTCAAATCATTTGCCAATTTTTTTAAAGGATTTTATTTATTTATCTTTAGAGGGGAAGGAGAGAGGGAGAGAAAGAGAAACATCAATGTATGGTTGCCTCTAGTGCTTCCCCTGCTGGGAAATGGCCTGCAAGGAACTGGCCTGCAACCCAGGCATGTGGCCTGACTGGGAATTGAACCGAGATCCTCTGGTTCGCAGGCCTGTGCTCAATCCACTGAGCTACACCAGCCAGGGCTATAAAGCACATTTTCTATGTAATCATTTGGACTTCACTGAATTGTAAGAGGCTTCCTATGATAGGGCATTAAGAGCACTGAGTTGTAAAAAGTGGTGCATGTGACAGGTGTTCATACACTGTTCTGCACGACAGGCGAATTCCTCAGTGAAGATGCTGAACACAGCCTTCGTTCAGTGGGTGTTTCGTTGGTCCATAGAGCTTAACGAATGCTGTGCTTTCTGTGTTCACAGCCACAGCTGCTTTTGTCTTCAGTGTCCGTCGCTTTGTGCCTGATTATTCCACCAGTTTTCCACGTCGTATTTGGTCCTGCGCAGGAACATGCAGTGATTAGACCCTCCAGCCTTAGAGGCTTTCTTCCATTAATTCCATTCATTTCAACAGTCCTGCTGAAATGGTTATACCCTCCACAGGTCCTTCACATTCATCCACCAAATTCCAGTTTCTAGTCTAGGGTTCAAGGCCATTTTGTTTGCTAATTTGTATTCTTTACCTTCTTTGGAATCCATCTCATTTCACCTCATTACTTGTCCTTTGGTTTAAACTTGATCAGTTTTATACTTATCTGTTGAATGAGCATTTGTCCTCAGCAAAGATTACAGCAAGGATAGTATTTTCTAAGTTTTATGTATCTCCCCAAAACACCTAGTGTACATGGTAAGGCTTTAGGTTAAAGTATGCCAGAAAATAGAGAATGTGTTATATTTACGAATATAAAAAACAAACAGTGCATAAGGTCCCCTGGTAACCTTTTCCCTTGAGATTCCTGATGTTTACCCTGAGTCCATGGTGTTGTGGCAGCATATCTAGGGGGAAAACTCCCTTATGCAATAATGGACAATAACTGATACATCACTGCCTTCAGTTAATGAGCAATCACATTGATGGTCCACTGTGCATGTGTCATGTGACTTGACCTCCATATATTAGCTATATTTAAAAAATAAATTTAATTACAGTTTTTTAAACTGATTTTTTGCACAAAGTCTGTAAGCAAAGTATTAGTCCATTCAAATATATCATTATGTGAAAAAAAAGTTTTATGACTTTTTTTGTATCCCCATTATAAAGGATAAATCCTGCATGGGCCTTGTCTTCCTTTGCTTTGGGTTTCTGGAGGTGCCACTTCAGTCTTGTGTCTAATTGCAAATTTTAGTGGTCCACGACACGGCAGAAACATGAGGAGATTTCATAGGCTCCATCGCCCATGGTGCGGGGCTGAGGTTTAACCGGTCGTCTTCCAGAGGGGAGCATCTGTAACCTGCCATCCTCCAGTTCATTAAGAGCACAGGGGACTGGGTTCTAGTGCATTGTGTGCACATGGAAGCCGCCCCTAATCTAAGCAGAGAGACCGTGAGTTTGAAGGCCTGATGAGATAGTAAGCTTTGTGTGGTGAGGACAGTAAATGTAAATCAGAATCCTGCTAGTCATTTTATGAAGCAGTTCTTCAGACAATAAAAGCGCCTTATAAGACCATTGTTCTACTTTAAAGTCCTCTCTAGCTGTTGCTCATGGTAAGTACTGGGAAGTACTTTCATTAACTTTTTTTTTGTTATAGTGGACTTCATTTGTATTCGTGCAACGTAAGTATGCTACAGTTACTATGCCTTGAAGTGCATGTGATTGGGCTCTTATATTTTATTTCTTTGATGTGTAAAATCTATATTTCTCTTTGTTAAAAATTCATTAATGTATATAGTGTTTTTATGGCATGTAGTGCGACTTTTTTCTTTTTAATTCATTTCTGCACATGGTGGGTTAAGACATAGAATGTCTTGGTTTTTTAACTCTCTGATTTCTATTTTTGAATTGTCATACTTACAGAGTATGTCTGTGAAGAAATTGTGTATTTGGTGTATGAGCATGATAATTTAGGGAAAGAAATTGAGAAATATTAAGTACAGTGATGAGATCAGCTATGTCTGAAGTAAGTTGAGATTGTTCTGACTATGTGGGAATTTACTAAGACCCAGGTTCCAGGATGATGGCTCGGGCCAAGGCTGTAAATCAGACAGCTGAAATATAACCGGTTGTAGTATACCTTGTCTGGGAAAAAAAGACTGTTGCCAGAGAGAGGTTACGCATTACTGGACCCGAGCATAAAGGGGAATCCAGGGACAGAAATTTATCAGTGTTTACCCAGCACTGTCCCAGGAAGAAGTGGAGAACAGGACCTGATAATCATGAATGGCAGTCATTAGAGAAACATTTGCTGTGGGTCATTTTTTTTTTTCACTCCACTAGCTTTCCTTTTGTGTTACCATAACAGCTTTTCTCCAAGGTTACTAATGACCTTGTCCCTAAACTCAGTAGATGCTTCTGTCTCTTGCCCAGGTGTCTCATCTGTACGCCCTCCATGCGGCGGCAGAGGTGGTACCTTCCTCCTCCCACTTCCCCTAATGTTTCACTCTTTCCTTCCAGATCTTTTCTTATGCATTCAGTACAGTTGTAAAAACTGGTATTATTCCAAGTTTATCATTGTGTATCCTTTTTCACACATTGCATTTTCATGTGAACTTTAGTGGCCATTACAGGGATATACCATAATCTTAAAAACCATGAAAGATTATGAAAGAAGTGCCCATTTTAGAAAACTTTCTGCCATTGTGTAGTACATTAAAATAATTTTGGAACCATGTGTAAGGAAGTGGAGCAGTAGAAAAGGGTTGTGTAGTTTTTACATTTTACTGATGAATGAAAGACTAATGACGGGCAATAATGAACACTACTGTAATGAACAAGGAAGACACAAGAGTAAGCCAAGTCCAGTGGAACCTTCTCTGTTTTCTCATCAATGAAATAGCAGGGTTGTACTCTGTCTCTAAAGTCTCCTCCAGTGTAATATTCTGTGACTTGTGAATTAGCACAGGGTGAGAAGTCTATATCAGCTTGTTCTCAGAACTGTTCTGGTTTGTTCCTGAGGGCTGTGATTACTACAAATTATAGTGTACATACATGTCAAAGTTCATTTAAAAAATCTCCTGTTTGCTACTCTATTAAATTGTCATGTGGCATTAACTTTCCTTGTAGTGGATCCAAGTACTTGTCTTGTGAACTTATCTAGTTTCTGTATTTGTTTATATAGGTCACAGAGCCTATAATTGCACAGTAAATGACTTATTTGCATTTAAAATATCACATATAGTGATTAATGCTTATAAAGCTATACTGTAAAATGTGAATATGAACACAGTGTGAAAAAATTCATGTGTAAATAACAATATATTCCATTAAAAATATACCCTGTAATGGTCCAGTGTCAAATTAAAATTTCACCTTTTTTCCCTCTGAATTCAGCAGCTTGTGATACTTGATCCTTATGCTTCGTGTGAATTCTGAGTCATTTATTTTAGTAAATTAATATTAAGGAAGTTGAAAAAATTATTTTGCTAGTGCATCTATTTAGTTAGGAACCAAGTCACATATTTTATTTACTTAAACCCATATGTACTTTTTCTACCAGTAACATATTTGGTCTGCGACCTGTGGACTGTACCGAGAGTGAAATTGTGAAATCGCTGTTGCTGCTACCAGAGAAGAATGAATCATCATCAACTAGCCATTGCTCAGTAGTAAGTATGGATTTACCTTTGTGAAATTTATATCTTTTTATTGAAATTGGTTATGAAAGGAGCATAATGGAAAAATTTCCAGTTAGCAAATTGCTTTTATTCACTGAACAGTTGTTGAGTTCTTTCTGTGTGTAGTTATTGTGAATTTGAAGACAATTGGAATAAATGTATCAACAAGTATTTATTGGGGTCCCCCCATATATTAGGCAACATTCATGCACAATAAATATGAAAGATAGCAACTCCTATTCTCAAAGAGGTTACATGCTAGTGAGAGAGAGGAAACAGACTGTAAATTTGTAAGCTAATGTAAATAATTCCAGGAACTTACAGATGAGTGGTGTGACGGAGACTTTGTAGAGTGTAATTCAGTAGAACTAGTGGGCTCCAGAAGAGACACCGCTTTTTATTAAGGTGATTGAGGAGTGCTTCTGAAGAACTGATGTTTGATTTGACACCTGCATGATGAGAGGAGGCAGCCGGTGGATACCAGAGGACAGGTGTTCCAAGCAGAAAGAGCGGCAAGTGAACAGGCCCCTCCGTGGATGAGTTTGTCATGTTTGAAGGTTAGAGAGAAGGTCATTATTACTGGCAACCAGTGAGTGTCTAGGAGTAATGAAAAAACACTGAAAGGCTCTAAAGCAAAGAAGTGACATGACTTAATTTATGCTTTAGAAAGGTCACTCTAACTGCTTTGTAAGAGAGACTGGGGTGGGGGCACAAATGGAGATTACTGATGACTTTTATTGTGCAGGGTAGAGATGCCATGATGACTTGAGTTAAGGTAGCATTGGAAGTTAGGGGAAGTAATGAGGTCTGGTATATATTTTTGAGTGAATGCCAGCAAAATTTTCTGATGGATTATTGATCAAGTGCGGGGAAAGAGTAGAATTGGCATGACTATAGCAATGGAGTAGTTGGGTGTTACTATTTGCTGCTGTGGAGAAGTGTTTAACAGGCAGTTGGAGATGTGAGCCTGAGCTTAGAGAGATAAGAGCTAAAGTGCAGAGAATGCCTGTTCCTTAGAAATCTATAGTTTAGTGGGGAATACAGATGTAAAAATATTTATTACACATGCACTAAATTCATAATAGAAACCATACAGTGTACGGTAGAACCAGGCAGAAGAAAGAAGCTACTAACTTCAGGAGGAATCGGGTTGCTTCATAGAGACGGTGGCACAGAACATGTCTAAGACCTCTGTGAAGCCTTTAAAGGTTAAAGGCTTTAGTGAGGTATCTGATAGAATTCTGTTGGTGTAAAGAATTTTTACAACTCAATAACACAAAAAAACCCAATTTGTTAAAAAAATGGGCAGAGAATCTTAATAGACAGTTTTCCAAAGAGTAATACATGTGGCCAACAGACATGAGAAGATGCTCAGTGTCAGTAATCATTGGGGAAATGCAAATCAGAACTACAGTGAGAATCACACCTGTTAGAATGGCTGTTATCAAGAAGACAAGAAGTAAGTGTTGGTGAAGATGTGGAGAAAAGGGAGCACTTTACCCACTGTTAGTAGGAATGTAAATTGGTACAGCCACTATGGAAAATAGTATGGAGGTTTCTCAAAAATTAAAAACAGAACTGTCATACGATCCAGCAATTCTGCTTCTGGGTATTTATCTGAAGAAAACAAAAACACTAACTTGAAAAGCTATATATCCACACCCTGCATTCATTGCAGCATTATTTATGACATCCAAGCTGTGGAAGCAACCTAAATGTTCATTGGTGGACGGGGCTGGACATTGAGGGTACTATGCTAAGTGAAATAGATAGAGAAAGACAATACTAATACTGTATGATCTCACTTAATGTGGAATCTAAAAGCAGCAAACAAAAATCTCCTACAACCATGTCCTCCAGGATACGGAGAACAGATTGAAAGGGGTTCAGAGAGATTGTAGAAGTTTCCATCACAAGAAAAGAAAGTTTGTAACTTTGTATGGTGATGGATGTTAACTACACTTATTGCGGTGATCATTTTATGTCGAATCATTATGTTGTACACCTGAAGCTAATACAATGTTATATGTCAGTCATATCTTAATTAAAAAAAAAAGAATGTTATTAGCTGTAAATAGCAGAAAACTTTCATTCAAATGCTTAAAGATAATCTCAATATAGGGTAGCTTTCCACTTGGTTAGTTCAGCAGTTAAGTGGCTGCACCCAAAACCCAAATTCTTACTGTCTAAACTTGGCCATCCTCAGCCTCATCCCCACTGATCTCCCCCTAGTGGTCATAGAGTGATTGCAACGCTCAAAGAAGGGTGAAAACCTCTCCCAGAGCCTTCTAGTGAATTTCCCTTATGTCTCTCCGGTCACACAGTTGGTTTTGACACACATCATGGTGGAAGATTGGGATGTTTATAATGTGTAGGAAGTGAGGAATGGATGTTGAGCGGACAACCAGTGTTGCCCACTGCAGTCAGATATATAGGTAAGGATGTCAGTCCCAATATAAAGAACAGCAGCTGAGAGAGACAAGGAAGCATAAAGGCCCTTGGAAATTTGAGAAACTAGAGTTGAGTGTGAGGGGAGCATATGGTGTGTTAAAGAGGAATTGACAGTGAAGAGCTAGGTTGGGATCAGGTTGTGAAAGGCCTTCAGTTCCCCCATGAGGAATTTAGACTTGATTTCCCTGGTTAATGGGGCACTCTTAGTACTTTCTTATTGGACTGGGACAAGACTGAGGCTGGTTGGCAGGAGGCCATTGTGGTGGAGCCCAGGTGTGCCGTGTCAGGGCAGAAGTACAGGTGGGGGTGTGTGATGGGGAGGCTAAGAGGGTTTTAGGGAGAGATGGATGGTGGACTCACTTTATTTAGCAACTGCTCAGATGGGGGAAATGAGAGAAAGGGATATGTGGACACCTAGGACCATTAAGAGAAACTTCTTCTCTAGTAAGGGCAGTGGTAATGAACTAGAAGAGACCCTAGAAATTAGGTTAATTTCCTCATTTTAGAAATGAGAAAGTTGAGACCTAGAAAGGTTGTGATCTACCCAGGGTTAATCAGCCATAAAAACATTTTTTTTAAAATGGATCAGTTAGAACACAAATTATTGAAATCTTAGGTCAGTATTCATTCATTCTAAGCATACTTAACAACTCTAAATTGGCACTTATTTTATTCATTTGAACTTGAACTCTTCTGGCAGAACATAGCATAACTAAGTTGTCATTTGCCAACATCCCTTTTATGTAAAAGCTGGAGAAAGATTATTTTAAATGTGTCAAAATAAAGATATCTTTATGGTATTCTTGGAATCTGAGGCTATTAATGCCGTTCAGAAAAGAGCAGAGTGATTATCCTCCTACCAATTCAACTATCCAGGTACTGTTGTGTCTTTATTAAATGTAGAAAACCTGTGCTCTTTGCATGTCACATGGACATAACCGGTGGATATCATTATTTATTATCTTGATGGGAACTACTTGACAAAGGAAAGAAAAACGAATGATAACAAATTCTAAGTTGAAGGGGTTTTTCTTTATGAGATATCTTAAAATCAGATCTCTGGGATTGGCCTTCCTCCACTCACTCCCAGACTCCACTCAGTCTTTTTCAGTCACATGGGCTTCTTGCTGTTTTTTGAATCCACCAAACATGCCCCACTTGAGGTCCTTAGAGCCAGCTCTTGGCTCTGCCGGGAATAAATGTGAGGAAGCAGATGTCCACATGGCCCCTTACTCTCCAGATCTGACTTCACTGCAGTCCCACCAAAGAGATCCCTGCGCTACAGTATACTGACTAGCATCTTGCAGTGCTGCTTACCTGGTGTTATTTTTATTTCATTGGTTTTCTTCTTCCCCAGCGAGAATATAAACCATCTGAGGGTAGGCACTTGCCTCTTCTGTCTACAGTAGCCCCTTCTCCGTAGTCCCAGCACTGAGAACAGTGCCTGACAAGGAGCGGGTGCTCAGGAGTGTATGTTGAATGGATGAGTGACTACGGAGGGTCCTTCCTAACCTGCGCTTGCCCCTGAAACAAGCGCCAGTGCTTGGGGGCTGAGTCTGCCATCCTTCAAACCAGGGACCTTTAAGCTATCAGGAGGTGTCCTGCAGAAGGGAAGGGATGAGGTGTGGGTGGCATTTGAGTTCCTCTACTTCCCATTTAGAAATTTTAAAGCACTTTTGAATTAGAGAAGCATTCTTTAAGCCAAAGACTTAAAAAGCTGCTCGCTGTGTTCATTTTGTGACTTCTCTGCCCATGATCCCTTTTATCAGCATGTTTATCTTTTTTCTTTCATAGGGTTTTTAAACCCTATTCTTGATACTCATTAAGAATAACTAATTCATCTAAGCAATCATTTCATATCAAATTATCCTTTAAATAAGACTTTAATGCTAGTGTACATAGTATGTAATTGCTATAAAATCAGGGTATTGAACCAGTTGAGATGGTTTTTAAATGTCTTTTGAACCTCGTGGTTCTGAGACTTCTGCTTATTCAACCAGATGTCCCTTACTCCCCTCCCTTCCCCCTGCTCCCCGTCAGACATGGAACCTTGGCAGAGGTTGGATTTATGTTGTTTGTTTTTTAAAAATAGTATTTCTTAACTGAGGAAAATTAGTGCCAGTTTCTGTTTTTTTAGTTCAGATTTAGAGATTGTGATAGCAAAAGGCTTGACCCACTTTGGTGTTCTCCTTGGGTTGGTAGAAATAGTATCATCCTGCATTTAAAATTGATATATTTTCACTCTTATATTTTGTGTAGAAAACTAATGTACCTGAAGTGGAGTTATATAACTTGAGAAGTAATATGTTCCAGTTAGAGCTATTTTATGGCACTTATTTGTATAACTGACAAGAATTATTGAAATACTGTTTTTTAAAATATAACCATCATGTAGTAATTGAACAACCCATAAAGTACACTAGTGTTAACAATGTTTAGTGTAGACAATATTTACACTAAACATCTAACAGTGTTTAGATGTTAAGTGTACATCGTGTTACTCAATGAACAGGAAAGATACGTGGGCGGAGGTGTGGCGTAAATTGGTGTGCACAGTACGTCCCGTGAAAGCATCCTTGTAGCTCGAGCTTAGAGCAGTAAAAGTAATGGAACATTGCAGTTTAAAAAACTTTTATGAAAAATTTAAAAAATGTCTTGTATATATACTTAACACACAGTAGACTCTCATTTAATGTATTTCTAGTGAATGAATTATTGAGATCAATCCATTTATGGATGTAGCCAACAACTTAGATGTGGTATTTTAAGGCATCAGACCAGATAAATGGTCACCACTCTGATAGGTGAAGCGAATAGATAAATGCCTGCTTCCAGGAATCTGCTTGCTGAACTGTTTCACTCCAGTTCTTCAGAGCTTCAGGGTCCCGGTGTCCAGCACACTTACATACTCACACATGGAGGAGGGCCGCTGCGTCTTGTATTTGAAAATCAGTGCAGTGCTATGTTTGGCTTTTTGTTCTTTAGTACAGTTGATTTACCTTTCCCCTCTTCTTTTTGCTCAGTCTTTGTTGTTTGTTTGTTTTTATCAGGAGCTTTCAGCTAACTCTCATTCCAGTTCCGCTTATTAAACATCTGTTGGCTACTACTGGGTACACTATCCTGTTTTTTCTTTTGAATCTTCCATTTCTAATCTCTAATGCTACCCATTGATGACCAATGTATTTTGTCTTTTTTTTTTTGTTCTGTGGTACAGTTCTAAGTCTTTCTATTGAATTGAAAATGCTAGTCCTTGTTCATAGAGCACTTCTTTCCTTTTCATGAGCTGCATTGACTTACTACTGTGGAGAATCTGATATAACTTTTGTATTCTTTTGTTTATTTTCATTTTCTGTTTCAGTGTTAAAAATTTGTTTCTGTCTTTGAGATCACTCTGTTCAGGAAATCTTTGTGTTTTTTGATTTTTCACATAATCTCAGTTTAAATAGACCAAGTTCGAGTTCAACTCTACTAAAGTAAGTTAGCGGACGGGAGATAAGGAATTGATCATTTTAACTGGCTATTTTGGGTTACTTAAAAAAAAAGGCTTATTAATGACAGAATGAAGTTGCAAAACCCCAAAGAGACCCAATTTAGAATCAAGGAAACAAGGTGGCTTGGGTATAAGGAGCTATCCCAAGTAACGTTTTAATTGGGGGCAGTAAAGAAATAGGAAAATAATTATTTAAATAAGTTGATCATTAAGGTTTTGAGTGATGATTCAGTAGAAATTGTTGGGAGTTAGTAGGTAGGGTAAGCTAAGGAATGAAATTCAGGCTTACATCAAGCAAAGGTCAGTTTAATATCCTTCTCTAGTCTTTCAATGTTTTAACACTGGTATTTCTTTTTTGTTAACAGGTGAGTGCTGGTCAGCGTAGAGATGGACCCTGTGTACTCATAGGCAGTGGGCTTTCTTCAGAACAACAGAAAAAGCTCAGTGACCTTGCAACAGTTCTTAAGGTTAAAAAATGTGCTGAGTTTGACAGTACAGGTGAGGATTATTTATTTTTGGTGGGAAAATATTTAAAATAGGTAATTCCTTTGTAGAACTCCATTGGGAAGTGGCTGTATACTTTGAATCTTATAATCTAAAGTATTTCTATAGTTATAAACTACTTACAGCCTTAATTTGATTAGGAAATGTAAAGTTTAAAGCTTTGCCCTTAGTTTAGGATGGAACTATATTGTAGAAGAGCAAATTTATGACTTTGCTAGTGACAAATAAATTTTAGTGCATATAATGCTTTCATTCCTCAGTTTCAATTTGAAAATAAAGGAAAAAATGATTTATGCTAATGTGGTTTTAAGATATTTGTTTTATGATCTGTTTTTTTTGTAGTTGTGCTTAGGCTAGAGAATGATACTAAAAGAAGTTTTATACCTGAGTATAAAAATTGTTTTTGAAGAAAATTCATATAAAGTGTAGACTGGTTATAAAATAGCAGACTAGTTAGAGAATTATTTTGGTTCACATCTCTGTTTCTTCTGCTGCTTTTTTTGTGTCCTAGTAACTCACGTCATTGTTCCTGGTGACACAGTTCAGAGCACCCTCAAATGTATGCTTGGGATTCTCAGTGGATGCTGGGTCCTGAAGTTTGAGTGTAAGTGTTGGGTTAGGGAGAGTCACGAAACGGAGTGAGTAAACTAACTTCCTTTTTTATACTTCACCATTGCCGAGAATTATTTCAAGAATTTATACCAAATTTCTTATCCGGAGTTACACTTCATTTTTCAAAAGCTTGTCATATTAATGGTATCATTTTGATATTCTTGGTAAATGGTGACATATTTGTTCTGGTTTTAAAGTCTTTTTCTATAATACTAACTACTTTAATAAAGCATAAATGGATTATGTTGTAGACTTTTAAGCCCAAGCAGTTCATATCGGTGTTAAATGATACGTTTACCTTTAATAGATGCATATTTTAAATAACACTGCTGTGGAACGAAAGTAGTTTATTGCTTTCCCTCTGTGATGTCTGAGAACTTATGTGAACACCCTTTTGCCTTCTTAGCTAATGTGGTGCATTCTAGGAAGCTGCTGGGAAAGCCTGACAGCTTGTACCACCTGGCTGGGGGCAGCTGTACCGCTGCGGTCCAAATCTCTGCTGAACACATATCCCCATCACCTGCTTCTGGGTCGTGGTCAGCCAGCGCCCCCGTGGGAGCTGCCTTCCACCTTCCCTGCTCTTGTCTGCTTTCTTAACCTTGATTCCCCTGGGGCTTAAAGACAAATAGGAAGAAAACTCACACAGGATTGTCTTCTACTCTTCAGCAGCAAAAGCATCTACTTTGTTACAGTGGCTAAAATAGGACAATGGATTGATTTTTTTTATTAACTAATGGTTTAAAACAGTAAGGGTAGAGACAGAGAGGAGGCTGACAGCTCTTGGGGGCAGGGTGGTGGGAGTTAGGGGTGGAGAGATCGAGGAAAAAGGACTCATGGACGTGGACAGCAGTGTGTGAACCGTGAGGGAGGGGAGTATAAGGGGAACATATGGTAATGGGAAAAAATACAGTGGAAAATAATAAGAATGGTGATGGAAAAGGAATCATAGGAGGAATCTTACGATGATACAGTTTACTATCTTTGATCTTACTAGTGTTTACCTTTTACAAGGCCACACGTGTAGTTAAATGATAAATCTACGTACACACGCACCACACCTCACACACACACAACACGGGTACACATATAACTGAATCTGCTACGTGGAGTGCATCGATGTGAAGTTCTCGCTTTGGGCATTGTGCTGTAATAGCATAAGATGTTAACATGGGCCCCTAGAGGAAGGTGCATGGGACTTCCCTGTATATTTCTTTGCAAATTCCTGTGAAATCTATAACTGTTTCAAATTAAACAGTTAAAGAAAAAGGAAGAGTGCGTATTTTTAATGAAACTTTTTAAGAAGCAAATAATGGATCAGAATTAGTGTTTTAAAACTTCATTTTATGGCTTTGTGCTGTGAAGGCTTATGGTAGAAATGCTTGATTTATTATTAAGATACTCTTAATTTAATCTGTCTTTTGAAGTTGACTTGGTTTGTAAAATTGTTTCCTTTTAGCAGTTGGTATTCATTTCCCTTTTAAGTGTACCTGTCCCCCGTCTCGGGATGCTAGTTCCCACGATGTGTTCCTGTCCAGCCAGGTGGCTGTGAGCAGCAGAGCACTTCCTCTCTTCTTTCTCACCGGGCTCTGTTGTTAGTCTGTCCCGGTCATGATGAGCTCGAAAAGTATGATAAGCAATTTGATAAGCAGCAAGTATGATAACCGTTTATGTCAGAAAAAAAGTTTTCCTTTCTGTCTCACTCTTATTTTTGCAGCTTTTCCCTTTCATATCTGTGGCAGGTCTTACTGGGTCTCAGTGTTTAAAAAACTGATTTAAAATGGTTTCATGATTTTAGATGCTTCTGTACTGAATCTGTGTGAGAAATGTTGCCAGTTGGTTATAGGAAGGAATGGATTTTCATAATAATAAGGTCTCAATAATAAAGAAACCATGTGGGGTTTCCAATATTATGGCATTTACCACTTAATTTTGAGTGTATAGTTCTTCTGAATGTGATGAACTTGCATTTGGTTACGTGTACAGGCTACATGATTCATGTCCATAAAATCTGCCTTCTTTAAGAAATGGACATTTTTGTCAATTTAATGGTTTGGCCATGTCATTTTTATAGAATCACCGATGGACTCAAGCTGACTTAATAGTGTGCTATTTGGTGATTCTCACAGTAGTGAATAACATATTCTAGTATCAGTGGTTCTTTTAGGATAAAGGGTGGATAGAATCTCCCATTGAAGTTCATATCCCCATATTTTCTAATATAGAGTCCAAAGAGAAATTAACATCCTTTGATCTAATAAATTCTGAGAATTTACCCTAAGCAAGTAAAACCAATAAAAGAGAAAGACTATTTCTGTTGTTATTTCTTAATAGCAAGAAGTAGGGAGAATAAACCCAAATATGAGAGAATTAAGAAAAGTTTGAAATGTTTAAAGACATTCTCTGAAAAAACTTAAATTTTTGTATGACTAAGACTGTAGTATTATAAAAACAGGGTTGTTTTAGTTTTAAAATATATAGAACAATTATATCTTTACTTTAAAAATATATAAATGGCCCTAGCTGGTGTAGCTCAGTGGATGGAGCACGGGCCTGCGAATCAAAGGATCTCGGTTTGATTCCCAGTCAGGGCACATGCCTGGGTTGCAGGCCAGTTCCCAGCAGGGGATGCACAGGAGGCAACTATACATTGATATTTCTCTCCCTCTCTCTTTTCCTTCCTCTCTAAAGATAAATAAATAATACATATGTATATACACATATATATGTATATGTATATAAATGTGTGAATGCATACAGCAAAGAAATAGTCAAAAGAAATGGTGGATTAATAAGTAGGTACCTGTTTATTTATAACAGTGTAAGAAACGGTGCCTGTTCAATGAAGTGCAAGTTGTTTAGAAGGCAGTTCAACTTCTCAAATTCTGATAAGGATAACTTTTTCATAGTCTTTTCCAGACAGTAGTCGGGCAGGGCAGTGGGTGCGCCCGTCTCGGTCAGGGGACTTGGACCCCGTGTGTGTGTCTCTTCCATCCGACGGCCAGGTCAGTGGTACCTGTGGTACCTGCCCTGCACACCTAGCAAATGCAAATGCATCTTGATACGTGGTTGTCCTAATGAAGAGACACTCTTCCATAAATATTTGAACTGTAAAGATATGACTGAAAAAGAATACCAAGTATGAGTTTTTTAAATTATTTTTTTGTTTTGTTTTTCCCTCATCATGTACCTCCCTCTGCATGCCCCTTCCACTCCCACCCACCCCTGCAGTCGTCTGCCATGAACGTCGAAGTTATTTTATTAAGAACATTTTCGGACATTAGATCCAGTTTGGTCTTTAACCACATCTGTAAAGAGAATGATTTTTATATTATTACTCATAAATTGTTTTAGAATTGCTATCTAAGTTTTTCCTTAAAAAATTCTATGATACAGTAATATATTTTGTGATGGAATTTGACCTGTTTCTTATATGCATTAAGTAAAACCAGCACAATATACTATCATATGAAGACATACGTTTTTATATATCAATATGTTTATAATTAGAATGCTGGCTTCAACGTATCCAGAAATGACCAGTTGTTAAATGGTATTTATGTAGAATCACGAAATCTAATGGCCTGTGACAGTTCTCTGTGATGTCCCAAATCTGGATGTCTGTGCTGGCGTGATGAGAGCATTTAGCTTTTATTTCCCCTTTTAGCCTTTATTTCATTGTTCTTTCATTCTTTACTATGGAATTTCACAATAATGTGTTTATTTCCTCTTTCTGTTGCCACCCAGTTATTCAGAAATTGATGTGAATGTAAGTTGTTTTTTTCATTTTCTTTTGTCATGGGTTTAATATATTTCCTCTAGTGATTTTCTTTTTTCTAAAGTTCAGTGATATCACATCCTGTTTAACTAAAAAGCCTAAAAGTGAAGCATTTAAAAATAAGTTCTTTTGTTTTTATAATATCAGTGTTGTTTTTTAATAGAGGGAAATTCTTCAATTTTTTTCTAATATGCTGTTGTTTTAAGTTACATAAGTGCCTAGTGTAGATCTAATGACCTTTATGAAGACTTTTCCTTTGGACACAGAGTGATGTTTGATTCCATTTTAATTGTTTTTTGGGACATTTGGTGTTAACTGGGAGTGGTACTTAATTGTGATTTTTGGTGCTGTTTCAGCTCCAAAACTAGATGTTTATGATGGTACGAGTGGAGCATTTAGCTTTCATTTTACTGCTTACAGTAGCTGCAGAAGAATAACACTTCATTAAAACATGGGTTCATTTATTGCTCTAGCTTTTGAAAGAAGTGAGCAAGTTCTGTGGCCTGCCATGGTGGGTAATTTCCCCCTTGGTACGTTTAGCAGATCTTCATGCTGAAGCTTTATTATGGCTTCCTTGTGTTCTATAATCATTTGTGTGTAGCAGTGGATTCAGGAACCTCCCTTTTCCTACTTCATCCCATTTGTATGATTCTTTTTCTCTTCTAAAATGACAAAAAGCTACCAAGCTTAATACAGATCCATGAAGGTCATCGCTTGTTCATGCAGCTAAAATGAAAACACACACCTGTAGTTATATAGGTGTTTATGAGGTAGGGGGTAGAGTAGTTATTGGAGATTTAGAATAAAGAAATGCCTTTCAGTATAGTACAAAGTTCTTTGAAAAAAAATTATTGTAACCCAGAATCTATGAGCTGCTTTAGTATGCAAAGATTCCAGGTTTTGCTGAAGTAGCCAGAGCTACCTTAATGACTTTGAGTTAATAACTTCAAGTTAAGCAGTACTTTGGGAATGGGGCTACTTACCCATATATAAAAAAAAAGTAATACAATCAGGCCAAAGGAAAGCTTACCTGAAATGGTAGACATGATCAGGAATACATCTGGGCTAAAAGAATCTCTTACTTTAATAAGATAAGTAATTCCTCTATTTCTGCACAATGATAGCTTCAGTCAAAATCTTAAAATATAATAAAATGTAAAAAGTAAGGAAGGATATAAAGCATAGTTTTATAAGGATAGTGACACATTTTAAGGTGTATACGTTCTGGCATATGCAGAAATCTGTGTTTACATAAATAGCGTAACTTATTCATGTAAAGTGACTTCAGTTTGGAAATTAATAGCTGAGAAAGCTAACAGGTGGTTGGTCTTGCACATGCTTCCTTCTCCCAAAAAGAATAAGAGTATCTTTGTGCTCAGCTATTTTAGTGGCAGATAATGGAAGAAAAAGGACTTTGTTAAGTACATATGATGACTGTATTTTGGTTAAATTTTAAAAAGTATCTATCGAACAGTGACCTATTTTAAGATATTGATATATGTTACAGTATATATACATCATCCTTTAGATGAGTTTCTGAGTAATGAGTTTCTGAGTAGGAATATTGGGAAAATTCTGGCATTTAACACGGAAATTAGGCTTAAGTATTCTTGTTGCAGGTTAACTTTTATTGGGTAAATAAAACCTTAAAATATTAATCTGTTATTTAGGCAGGTTCATTAGATAATGTTTTGGCTGGGAGATTCTTCCATTTCCTTGATGATGTTAATGTATTGACATTTAAATTGCTGAAAGTTTATTTGAAAGTATTTCATTCTTGTTTTTTTACTCATTTAGTCAGTACAGTTTACCTCGAGAGGTTCACAAAGCGTTGATGTGAATTCGTAATTATCAGAGAAGTCTACTGTGCAGCAGGTCTTCATTATGAAACTCCTGGGGTTCAGATTGGAGTGGCCACTCTGGCAGTGGTTAGGAAATGAAGGCACTGCATGGCCCCACTGGCGACAGAACCCAGTGCATGTTCTCCCCCTTCTCCAAGGGAGCCAGCAGTTTTCGGTTTTTGCCATTTCATATACTCTGGCTAATCTCTTAAAAATTAGGATCCTCCTATTACTCGTATATTAACTAATTATGTGATTTATTGTAAGAGGGTCACAATATATTAAATCTGAGTAGGGAATGCCTTGCATTTACTAAGATGTTTGTTAAAAAATAATAAAGAATAAAGATTACAAAATAATACGTGTCTTCAAACTGTGTGGATATGTGAGTTCTCATTTCACTTGTCATGGAGAAAGTTGCTTAGATCTTTTAGGACTTAGGTTTCCTTTCCTAAGAAAGGAAGAGGCTGATTAGATGCAGCATCAAGGAGTTCCAGCATGGCAAAGGACCAAAGAAGATGACTTGTGTGGTTATGTCCAGCATACCCACTTTATTTTTGTCTTTAAATATGATTTGCGCTTTCCTGTTCATTGCCGTCTCCGCAGCTTCCTACCAGTTTACACCAGGTTCCTCACAGCTGTGTGGAATCAAATCTTTGCAGACATGACACTTGCAGCCCTTGGACTAGCTGTCACCCCAGCCTTTAAGAGATTCTTCGTATTTCCTATGTTATGACAGCAGTTCTAATGGAGCACTTTGTTTTCAGGGGGAAAACACGCTATATTTGCTTATTTAGTTGGTACTTGGTGGCCTAGAGAGCTGGCACATTGTTACTCAGAATAAGAGAATTTCGGAGGAAGGCATTCTTTTTTTTTTTTATGGATACTTCCAGAGTTTCTTTATTCATATATAGAGAAATACTAATAAGTAGATTTCTTTTTTATTTTCCCCTATTTTTTTCAAAAAGTATCACATTTTATATTTTTCAGCACCTAGATTTTTCACTTAAGAGGAAGGCATTCTTCATGCAGCTCAGTAGTGGCTGCCCTTCTGGCTCCTGCCGTCTCATTTCCCCGATGCCGAGCTTACCTTGTGCTTGTGCCAGTTAAAGCTGCATCCTTTTGAGGTACTGAAGTCAGCACATTACCAGGATGGACAGACACCATTTTTGTACGCTTTTTGGACAGTGAATAAAACAATAATGGCTAAGAAGCATAAACATAGCCCGTTGATCTGCTTCTGTAGTTAGACAGTAGCCATTCACTTCCCTCTGTGAACACCGTAGGAGCGCTCAGTGTTGAATCCTTGGCTTTACTGGCTGGCCTATTGACCTGTTCGTTGTCTAAAGATTCTGTCATGAGTGCTCCACAGGTATCATTAGGAAAGGAGGTTTAGACGGGGCTCCGCGCTGGAGGTAAAAAGTAGAAGTAATAGTTTCCGTGTAAAATAATGAGTTTGAAGTAAGTTGGTGATTTAGCCAGACTGCTGATGCTTTGGGGGGTTAGTGTTTACTGTGAAAACAGTACATGATGTAATGTGAACACACTGTTGCTAGTAGGGTACTTTGACCTAGTCACAAATTCTGTGAGTGAATGATTATTAAAAATTATAATATTTGTAAAATATAATTTTTACTACACAAAAAACAGTCATTTTCATAGAACCATGATGTTTATGATAAATTAATGAGAAGAATAGGATTTAGAATAGGATTCAGCATAGCTAACTTGGCCAACTATGATTCTTGTGCTAAGAAATTAAGTGTCACGGGGCAGGGAGTTACAGGTAAGCCAAGTTGGTTTAGTGTGGAACATGCATATGCATTAACAGCCCCAAGTCAAGAAAAAATTCAGTCTCCTGACAAAGCTCTGCTTTTGGAGAGAATGGAGTGTTGAGTTTCTAAAACCTCCTTGTGTGTTCAGCAGCACCTTTGAACATCTCAACTGAAGCACCAAGTCGTTGCTGGAGTGGTGATTTCACTGTGTACCTGTCAAACCCCAAACACGTCTCGGGGTCTGCTTATTGGTGATTTTAACCAGTATTGTGGAGCCCCTGTTCGGCCAGCTGAACTTGGGGCAGTGGACCAGAAACACTTCATGTCAGATTGCGTGTAGTCTAACAGGAGATTAGACATGACTGTGAAAACAAGCATGCAGATGATCACCATTGAAGTTCAGATAGATCACTGTGGGCTCAGCTAAACCAGGGACTGTTTACTCACCTTCATTTTGATAATTTAGGTTCGTATTTGTGAAACGCTGTATTGGTTTTGGTTTTCAGCAAGGAAACACTTTTGTTAGTGTTCAGTACTACTTCATTGCTCAGTCCTCTGAAGAAGAGATTTCTTATGTTTTCTTACATATGAAAAGCTCATTTTATTACATTTGTTTTGGCATAAAGTTTCTATTTAGAAACACTACTCATGAAGAAGAAAAAACAGGTGAATTGCTTACTTTCAATGAGAAAGAAGTAATGCTCACTTGACATTTATTTTGCTTTTTTTTTGTCAGGGGTGAACGCTTGTCTACAAAGCAGAGAATGGGAGCAGGAAGAGAAGTTTGAGGTTCCTGGAGGACCCCAGAGAAGCAGGATCAACAGAGAACAGCTGGTATTTCTCTTTTTTGCTACTTTCATTGTTCTTATTCTGTCTGAATATTATTATCACCATCAGGAAAAACTTCCCTTCAGTGAGTACAGGTGACTGATTAAAATTTTAATTGTACTTATTTCAAACACTTGGTTCTGAGAGATGATCACGATAAGCAGTAAATTCCAGAAGGTGATAATTTCATACCGTTAATGTATTTTTGGCATCTTGAACATTCCCATAAACCTTTCAGAATCTGAGGTGAGTCGTAGTTGCAGGAAGTAACTTGAAAGAAGACTGACAGCTGCTGCTCGGATTTAGTTACCACATGTCTTTACTGCCACAGATTGCAGTTGTGATGGATAACAGTCCATTGTCTTGCTGATGTACATTAGAAATGACAAATTTTCATGCAAGGGGGGTCCGAAACTTTCCATTCATAAAGCACACAGGAGTGTGTTTCATAGGTAATTGGACCCTTAGCCGTGGCTTCATAATGTACTGTGCCCCAAGGAATATGCCTCTGACCACTACAGGCCACACGGCCACTCGGTGGCCCTGACGACCTCCGGCTGGTACTGGCCAGTGTCCTTAATGTGGGCGCACAGGACTAGATGATGGTCCGCAGAGAAGGTGCGACTCCTGCCATCTGAGCCCGTCTCCCTGAAGCATATGTCATATACACAGCAGTCCTGGACCTTCAAGTCCTGTTAAATGTGAATATACCTTCTGACAAAAGAAGTTTGATGAACAGTTCTGGGGTTTTTTTTTGTTTGTTTGTTTTATGCAAAACACCCCTAAAATCTGAGGAGAGTGAAAAGTACCAGAGGTGGTTGAATGGGGAAGTTTAGTACACTTCGTTCCCGCACCTCTTTAACTGCGTAACTGCTCATGACCATAATTCTAATTCCCTCATTTGTATGCAGTGTTCTAAAATATTTTGATCTGCTTTTCACAGGTTTTTTGTAATCTTTTTTTATTTTTAAAAAATTTTTATTTTAGTTGCCAAAGCTGTTTGATGGATGCTACTTCTATTTTGGAGGAATCTTCAAACACCATCCAAAGGACAACCTCATTAAACTCGTCACTGCAGCTGGGGGCCAGATCCTCAATAGGAAGCCCAAACCTGACAGTGACGTGACTCAGAGCATCAACACAGTCGCTTACCACGCCAACCCAGACTCCGATCAGCGCTTCTGCACACAGTATATCATCTACGAGGATCTGTCTAATCATCGCCCAGAGAGGGTCCGGCAGGGCAAAGTGTGGATGGCTCCTTCTAGCTGGTTTATAGACTCTGTGATGTCCTTTGAGCTGCTCCCTCTTGACAGTTAAATACTGCACCAGAGGAGCCTTTCTGATTGAACCTCTGTTCACTGTTTTGATCATTTGCATTTCGATAGACAGACTCATTCATGTATTCTTTCCTGGAATTAAAAATATCTTATGTCAGATTAGGAATTTATTCTGTGTTTACCATTTAAATACTGAGTTTGCATTGAAGGATTTTCTTTTTAAAACTGACATATATTTTGATTCATCATGTCTTTCTACTCAAATTATCAGCTATCAAAGATTAATGAGAGGGTATTGGAATTATTGCTTGATGTACAAGTGGTATCATTAATGCCTCAGCTTTGTAATGTTTTTTGATGAAATAATCTCTACTTGCCACCAGCAAAAATACTTGTCATCCTTTAGTAAACAAAGAATATTATCAAATAACTTATTGTGGGTTTATCGTAATGAAAATAGAGTACCTGGCCTACATGTGTTACCATAGGTATTAAATTCTTCTCTTGTCTACAGTTGTATTTCATTTTACATTGTTTAGTTTTATATTATTTACTTGGATGTCTCCACCTGCGTTTTTATGTCTTATTATTAGGAAATCATGATTGGAACCTTAACATTGTTTTTTGGTTGTAAAAATCAACATTGGTTCGTGGCACATTTTTATCATATACTATTGCTTATTGTGAACTCTCAGTGTGCTGCTGTGTTTACATACATGAATACATACTTCAGGCATTTTCTCTTAACATATTTTAGTGTCTATATTTCTTAAAGGGTCTCATCAGACTCGCAAATTGTCAATAAAATGTTGGTAAATTAGGAGGCAGTCTTTTCTGGTAGACTTTTTGCTACCTATTGCTAAAACAACTTTTTATGGGTTTTAATTTCTTCCTTCATAAAGGTTTTTTTGTTTTGTTTTTAATTTGTAGATTTCTCTGGAGGCAGAAGTTGGGGATTACTTGATTTAGAACAGATTGTATCCAGCTGATACAAAAGGCCGTAACAGTAAGTTTAGAGGGAGGCGAGGGAAGGACGTGCTCAGAACCTCGGGGCAGTGGGCGGGGCACCACCTGAGGGCAGGGAGGGTCCTGGGGCAGCGGCGGCGGAGTGTTCCCCGGCAGATTCCGTCCTTTAAAAACAGTTTTAAAGAAGTCTTAGAAATGGACTGTTCTTCTGAGAGTGAGGACGTGGGCAGGAAGACTCCGTGAGACCTGTCGGTATGGTTACTCCGGGGCCAAAGAGCACAGTGGGATGACCCCTGGCAGAGAGTGCACAGTCTAAAATTAACGGGCATTTCAGCATCTGTTCATCTGAAAGTTTGAGATTCTGCTGGTTCAAAATAAATTTTACTTTAATTTCTCCTTAGATGTGTTACTTTTCCATATCAAGAAATGTATTACAGTAATATACTGCTGACCCTGACCTTCAGGGGCGAATTAACGCTGAGATACTTTCCAGCGGGTAATGTGTTTGTCCCACATTTCATTCTGATGGAGAATGATGAACACCATAGCACCAAGCACGTCCGAGGGGTTAGCTAACGTCTGGGCAAAATGCAAGACTCTGGGATCGGGGCTGTTGTTTTTGATTTATACCTGACTTTTCATCACTTTCTATGAGCTCATTGGTCACATTCCTAGACAGGTCTGTGTCTGTTCCCCTGATCCGAGTCCCTGTTTGGAAGAACACCTTTGGGGGTGTTGCTCGCTTTCATTTATTCCTTTTCTTGGCCTGTCCCCCTCCCTCTTTGTCACATTTTGTGCTCCACTGTTGAGCAGCTTTATTTTGGGTTATTTTAAGTATGTATTTTGACAGCAGTTGATTGATGTCAAGCCCTTGAAACTTGTACTTTATGCATATATACTTGTAATTATTTTCATTTTTCAATCATAGATTCAAGCTTGCTTTTATTTACTAAAACCATTAAAAGTTATTTGTATTTCAGTGTCTTCTACAGAAGTGTTTTATTCTGTGCTCCTGAAGAACGAGACTCAGAAAGACCTGGAGGACTCTTTCAACTGATAAAAACTTACCTTTTTTTAGCTCTAATGCCTTTTAATTATTTTTGGATAGAACTATTTCTAACGTATATGAGATACATTATTTATTACCTTAAATCATTTTTTTTCTGAATACAGTGTAACCGTGATAGTTTGGAGTCGTCATTGCATACAGTTTTGTAGATAAGGGTCACCATTTATTTGATCTGTCTTGCTTTCTTTTGAGCCTGCGTTGTGAAGGTTGCAATTGTGACCTCTCCATAGACGATGGTTATGTTTCGGGAGGTTTGGAGTTTCCTGTAGGAATGAGATGCATCCCATTCCTGTGGGCTGGGGGTGGGGCGGGTCACATTATACACTAGCTGTCACTGCTTCTGGGTTGGTGCAGAAAAAGTCAGCTTTGTGCTCAAGTTCGTGGACCTTTTCACAGTCACAAATGTCTGTTTTGTTCTCTAATCAAAACACATTAAATGGCAGGAAATAATGCTTATTTAATAACCAGAAGCTATTACTTTGATGATGGACCAAAGTATACATTGTAAATTTAATGTATTAGGGGGTGACCCTAAAAAAAACAGAATTATCTTCTGGAGGGCGGGCCCCTTGTAGTGCAGACTTTCTCCCCCTAGGTGAGGAAGTGTTCTAGGAACTCATCAGTGTAGCGGCTGGTGTTGTGAGAGGCTACATTCAGCTTCATTGAACTTTTTTTTTTGAAGACGATGCTTTTGCCGATTGCATATGGGTGATTTACAAGTGCACCTACCCACACCACACTGAGTGTTAAAAATGGACCTGTTCCCCACCCTCCCTGTTTGCCTCATCTCACCCCCAGCAACTCTTGGTTCCCCAAATGAAAAAGTCCTCAAAGGGAAACATTCTGCTGATGTGGAAGAGCTGAAACCAAAAAAGGCAGAAGCACTAAAAGGCATCAAAACTGACGAGTTCAAACACCTTTGAGCAGTGGGGAAAACGTCACAACAGGTGTATTGTATGAAATGGAGGGTACCTTGAAGGTGTCTGAAGTTTAAACATGTAAGAATACCTACACAGTTTTTTATAATAAGTTCTGAGTTTTTTGGAGTCCCGCCCTTGTCCAAGGTCTTTCGTATCCATCCATGTCATATGAAAAAGATTTATTGAAGAAGATACAGGGTTCAAGGAACAATGTTCGTGGGACATGGATGGCTCGGTCCTCTTCAGCATAGGCACCTGCAGACCCCACACAGTTCTGGAGTCGTCAGCAACCGCAGCGCGATGTTCCTTCTGCTCTGGGAGCGGAAGCTGCGGAATGAATTTTGCCACAGCACGTTTCCTGCAAAGGTCCTGTGTCAAAATCTTGGACCGAGTCGTTTTGGAATCCCCAGATCAGCTTCTAGTTTCTGTGCCGTCAGTCTCAGATCTTTGCTGATTGCAGTCCATCCACACACAGCATTCTCAGATGTTCTGCTTTCACAGGCCTTCCAGAATGTGGACCGCTTTCAATAGATTCCTGACCGGTTTTGAAGTGTTTTTGCCACACTTTTTTAAGAAAGATTTTACTTATTTATCTTTAGAGAGGGGAAGGGAGGGAGAAGGGAACACCAATGTGTGGTTGCCTCTTGCATGCCTCTTACTGGCAATCTGGCCTGCAACCCAGGCACATGCCCAGACTGGGAATCGAACCGGCAATCCTTTCATTCACAGGCTGGCACTCAGTCCACTGAGCCACACCAGCCAGGTGTGCCACACTTTTATTTGCACTGCACTCATTGCATTGTCCCTTAAAGCTGTGTGAATCATCTGAATGGTTTTCATGGAGGAATGTTCAAGCTTAATGCATAATTAGATGCAGATTCATTGCTCTACTCGCTCAGTCATTTGCAGTGTGACACCCACATAGTGCACACTGACTAGCACAGTGAAGTCGTCATTGTTCACACATGCACATTCCAGTCCACTCTCCCTGGCTGCCAGGTTACATTGATGTTGCACAAACCATTCTCATTACCAATGGCTGGACTTTTTCCAGACAAACTTTGTGTGTCTTATTAGTTAACTCTTTTTAAAGATAAGCACATCAAAGCAAAACTGAGCAACTGTTTAATTTCTTTCAGTCACCTGGTACTGTATATTTGGCATACTCATGAGTTAGCATTGTTAATTTTTGTGGAGCTTTCTAAGGCATAGGGTGTACCTTTTGATACCTGGGAATTTCTATTGAGTGGTACTGTCAGAGAAGTGGGGCAGACACGATTATTCCAACTGACCTGGCTTAACCCTGTGGAGGTCACTGTGTGGACAGATACATTTGTTACCAGTATGTGCTGAAACGGAGGGGAGGGGATTTTAAATGGCAAATTTGCATTTATTATATTTATGTGATGCATGACTTTTTATTTTCAGTTCCAGTCTAGAAATTATTAAACAAGTATAAAAACAAAATTCTTTGAAATAATGGAAACATAGATACTGTTAAAAATACAATGTCATTAACAATCAGAATCTTCAGAATTCTTCAGAATCAGAATAGTTGGCTTTGCACAGTGTAGCAGTCAATATTGTTATGCTCAAGACATAACACTTCACAACACTTGCAAAAATGTGTTGCTAAGTGACTCGTTTTGGATGCATAGCACCTAACGCATCTTTTCCTGCTTGTTGAGGGAGCCTTATTCACCTCATTAGGATTTTCTTCAATTTGGGTTAGTCACATACAAACGCGTAGCTAATCATGACCTTGAACCTATGCACCCGATCTATGTAACAATATTTAAGAAGAGAGTTTGTATCTCTCAGATCAGCCACGACCTCCACAGGGGTAAAGGGTTGGTAACTAGCTGTCTAGCCCGGAAGCAGGTTCCTTTGGCCCTGGTGCCTGGTGTGCCTGCGCAGGCCATCCTGAGGTCAGCAAACCTACCATCAGGCTTGGAGATTGAATTAAAGACAGGATGGGCACAGCTCCTGTACAGGCTTTGAAGTCAGTGGGCTTGTTGGCCATCTCTTCACTAGTTTATAAAATGAAGAGCCATAGCTATAAAGTGGGGAAACTGCTGTCCATCTCACATGGGCATAAAGATGAACAAAAGCACCAAGCACCTTGCAGACACTCAGAGGATCACCTTCCAATACCTCTGTGAACACGCTGGATCGGAGATGTTTCTAAAAGCAGCTCAGTACAAGTGGCTTCTGGTAGCGTGGCCCATCTTTGTTCTGAATAGTCCTGCCCGACTGCTGGCCGTCCTCTGGTTCTCCCGTGACTGATAGACTTCGCAACCACCAGGAACTGGCCTTGCTGGCTGATTCTCACCTCTGCCTTTTATCTCCACCTGTGAGTGAAGTTGCCTCATCTATGGAGCTGGCCTGCCTGTTTAGTTACAACTTTGTTTAACTTTAGTCTCCTGAGTGCACTTACTCTGGTTACCAAGACTGCTTAGAGGTCTAGGTTAGAAAGTATGGGCCAGACTTGGCGCTGTGTCACGAGCCCTTTGGCCACTTCAGACCTGCTGTACAACTTTGGGATAACCTGACTTTACATATTTATTGAAAAATAGAGGCTGATCATTTCTACGTTTAGTCCATAATTTGTGAGACTTATTTTCATTGTCAATACTACAATTATGCCAAAATAATTCCTATATTTCTGTTGAACAAATAATGTTACCAAAACATTTTGCCATCAGTGAAATATAAAAGCCTTTTCCTAGATTTTACCAATATAGCTATCTTCAAATTTATAAATAACTCTGCTTACAGAAGTATCACATAATTACTGTAGAAGATTTGCAGAGTACAGAAACACAGGGAAGAAAATAACCTCAAAGTCCTGGAATCATAAAGCGACTAATTGCTTTGTCTGGCCTTAAGAGTGTGAAACACGTTGAATGCTACTGAAGGGCATGTGTGCCTCAGTTCTCCACAGTCCCCACTACTCCTTACTGTATAGCCCCTTCTCCTTTGTTTATTTACTTGGGCCTTGGAAATAGTTAAGCCACAAGACTTGCAAAAATATTAACATTGCAAAAACAACTATTAACATTCTTATCTTTTTTCTACTCAAGCACACACAGCTTTTATAACTAAGAAGTAAACCCTGAATAAACTTTTACTGCATAATTTCTCATGTAATTAAATATTTTTATCCATAATTTTCAGTAGTTGCATCCTATCAACAACGTGTTTATTTAGTCAAATCCCTGCTAGTGAATATTTGGATTATTTCTATTATAGATAAAGCTACATAAGCATAGTTCATTACAGCATTTATAATTGCCAAGATGGGGAAGTAGCCCAAGTGTCCATCAGTAAATGATTGGATAAAACTATGGGACATTTACACAATGGAGTACAACTTGGCCTTACAAAATAAGATTTTGCCCTTTGCAACAGCATGGATGGACCTGGAGAACATGACGCCAAGTGAAATAAGCCAGTCAGAGAAGACAAACGCCATGTGATTTCACTCGTATGTGGAACCTAATGAACAAACAACTAATAAGCGGCATAGAGACAGACCCAGATGGAGAGCAGGCAGCCAGCGACGGGGGTGGGAGGGAGGTGGGGGTGGGAGAAATGGGGCAAAAAGGAGAAAGGCCTCATGGGTACAGACAACAGTGTGGTCATTGTGGGGGGCAGTATAAGGAGACTATGGTAATGAGAAAAACAAAAAATGAAAGCAAAAAGCATATAGTAAATTTCGAGTGGGAGATTTTCTTTAAAATGTAATGCTATGTCACCATCTGTCATTAACATTTTTGTAAAATGCAGGGCACGGCATATACATTTAAATGAAGACATAGTTATGCTTAAAATATAAAAATCACAAAATGAGCCTTAATTGATTGCTGTGATTTTCATGAGTTGATGAGACTACAGGTAAGGTTTAAAACATTCCAGATCTCAGGGGTTAGAAACAAACACAGGAAAGTGGGGGTAGGGCTGCGGGTGGAAGGAGTCCTAGGCCTTTGGTAGAG